ATCCTTGCTGCCATGTATGCTGTGACCATTAGTGATGAGGGCGACTGTTACCGGTGTTTCCCGCCCGACCTGGGCATTGGTACTGCTGCTCTAGGTGCCAGCGAGGCTTCTGCTCTAGGTGCCAGTGCGTCTGTGCTCTCAGGTACTGGTGAGGCTGCTCTCTCAGGTACTAGTGAGTCTGCGCTCTCAGGTACTGCGTCGGCTTCGGCCTCCCACACCTTCACCCTTGACTCTGGAGCATCTCGCTCCTTCTTTCGGGACCGCACCACACTCACGCCGCTTAGTCGGCCGGTTGCGGTGTCCCTGGCTGACCCCTCTGGGGGTCCTGTTCTGTCTCGCTTCTCCACAGTCCTCCCGTGTCCGGCGGCTCCCTCTGGCACCCTGTCTGGTCTCTACCTCCCCTCGTTCTCTACGAACTTGGTGAGTGGTGCTGACCTATAGGATGCGGGAGTCCACTAGTTCACCCCTGCTCGTCAGCGAGTGACGCATTGCACAGAGGCTAGCACAGGTCGTCACCTGGCTACGTTCACACGTCAGCTAGGGTCGAGCCTGTACACACTGACCACTGCTTCTCCTCCAGTCACTGAGTCTGGTAGGGTCCCCTCGTCAGGTCAGGTGTTTGCTGCAGCGTCCAGGTCTGGTCCTGAGTCTGCCCCCTGTTCGTGTCGTCGCGTGTCTCACGAGACTCTCCTCTGGCACCACCGCCTGGGTCACCCCTCTCTGCTTCGGCTCAGAGGCATGGCCTCCCGTCTTCTTGTGTCTGGTCTTCCCCGGTCCCTCCCTCCCCTTCCTCAGGGCCCTGGCCCTGCCTTTGTCCCCTGTGTAGAGGGGCGCCAGCGTGCTGCCCCTCACTCCTCACAGTTTCCTCCGACAGAGGCTCCGTTGCAGACGCTTCACATGGACGTGTGGGGCCCGGCCCGCGTCCGTGGACTCGGTCACGAGCGCTACTTCCTGTTGGTGGTTGACGACTACTCGCGTTACACCACAGTCTTCCCCTTGCACAGCAAGGGTGATGTCACTGAGGTGCTGATCGACTGGATCCGCGCAGCTTGTCTCCGGCTCAGGCAGAGCTTTGGCTCAGACTTTCCTGTGTTGCGTCTGCACTCGGACAGGGGCGGAGAGTTTTCCTCTGGCCTTCTGCGTGCCTACTGTCGTGCGCGAGGCATCCGTCAGACCTTCACGCTTTCGGACTCACTGCAGCAAAATGGGATTGCAGAGCGCCGCATTGGCATGGTCATGGACGTCGCTCGTACGTCCATGATGCATGCGGCTGCCCCCCATTTTCTGTAGCCGTTTGCGGTCAGGTACGCGGCGCATCAGATCAACCTCCACCCCAGGGTCTCCAGGCCGGAGACCTCCCCAGCCCTGCTGTGGACGGGGAAGGTTGGCGATGCGTCGGCGTTCCGGGTCTGGGGATCTCGGGCGTTTGTCCGCGACTTGTCTGTGGACAAGCTGTCCCCTCGTGCTGCTCCCTGCGTCTTCCTGGGGTTCCCCCCCGACGCCCCTGGGTGGCAGTTCTACCACCCCACCTCTCGCCGTGTTCTATCCTCCTAGGACGTCACGTTCGACGAGTCGATACCCTACTATCGCCTCTTCCCCTACCGCACTCCGTCCCTCCCCCCACCCCCGCTCTTCTTGGTACCAGGTCCCCCCCCGGTAGACCCCCTTCCCCCTCAGGGTCCTGCCCCTTCAGGTGTGTCCCAGGTAGACGCGGTCGAGCCAGTCGAGGTCACTGGTGACTCTGGTGCTGCAATGGGTGCTGAGCCTAGGGGTGCTGTGACTGGGGGTGCTGTCTCTGGGGGTGCTGAGCCTGGGGGTGCTGAGCCTGGGGGTGCTGAGCCTGGGGGTGCTGAGCCTAGGGGTGCTGAGCCTGGGGGTGCTGAGCCTGGGGGTGCTGAGCCTGGGGGTACTGAGACTGGAGGTGCTACGCCTGGAGGTGCTTTGCTTGAGGGTTCTTCGCCTCCGGGTGCTTCGTCTTGCCGAGAGCCACTCTCCCCGCAGGAGCTGCGTGAGTGGTTTGCCCGGCGCTGCAGGCGTGCTGCTGGTGTTGGAGGTTCTTCGGCTGCTGACGGTGCTGCTGCCGCGCGTCCCGGAGGTGCTCCTACTGGGAGTACTGGAGCTGCTGGGCCTACGGGTTCTACTGGAGCTGGTGCTGCTGAGCGTGTTGGCACTGAGACTACTGCTGGCGGTCCGGCTGGCAGTGCTCCTGGTGCTGCTGGAGGTTCTGGTGCTGCTGGGGGTTCTGGAGCTACTGGAGGTGCTACTGGAGGTGCCGCTGGAGGTGCTACTGGGGGTTCTGGAGCTACTGGAGGTGATGCTGGAGGTGCTACTGGAGCGGGTACTCCTGCTGGGGGTACTGGTGCTGTCCTTGCTGTTTCTGGCGTCGTCTCGCGGCCCAGACCGTACTTCGTTCCCCTTCTGCAGCAGGTTCTTGGTCTCACACCTTCTCCTGGTCCTTCTCCTCCTCCCTTAGAGGGTCCACAGCCTGTCCAGTCACAGTCACAGCTACCGCCTGCCTCCCCTTTGCCTGCTCCTTCTCCCTACGCTGGTCCGACTGGAGGTCTTACTGAGCGTTGTGAGCTTGCGTCTCGTCCTGCGTCGCCTGTTCGTACTGCGCGCACTAGTGGTCGCGGTTCGCGTCAGCGTCCTCCTCCTGTTCCTGGCACGCACCGGATGTCTCTGGGTCCGTCTACTGCTCCTCTGCGTGCCCCTTTGCCTTCTCCTCCTGCGTCCTCTCTTCCTGCACTTGCCGACCCGGAGTCGGACTCTCTTCGTGCTGCCAGTCCTACTGTCACGCGTCTCCTTGCTACTACCGTCACTGACCCTTCTTTCGAGTCCTCTGCTGCGTCTACCCTTGTCACTGAGCTCGTCGACTTTGCTGCACGTTGTCGTCTAGACTACGCTGCTAGTCTTGTCGCTGAGTCTGAGTCTGTCTGTCCTCCGTCCGTCGGGGGTGAGTGTGCCCTTGGCACGGACGTCCTTGAGGACAGGCAGGAGGAGTTCCAGTGTCTGGCCGCCGCTTCACCTCATCTCGCGTCTGTACTGCTCGCCCCTGAGGGAGACCCGGATGCACTAGACATCCCGACTCCGCGCTCTTACGCGGAGGCGATAGAGGGTCCCTACTCCTCTCAGTGGCAGGCAGCTATGGATGCAGAGATGGCTTCCTGGAAGTCCACAGGCACCTACGTTGACGCTGTTCCCCCTCCTGGGGCGAACATAGTCAGTGGCATGTGGATCTTCAGGGTGAAGCGGCCGCCGGGTTCTCCGCCTGTCTTCAAAGCGCGTTACGTGGCTCGTGGCTTCAGTCAGCGGCAAGGAGTTGACTACTTTCAGACCTTCTCTCCCACCCTGAAGATGACCACTCTTCGGGTACTGCTGCACGTTGCTGCTCACCGTGACTACGAGCTGCACTCTCTCGACTTCAGCACTGCTTTCTTGCAGGGCAGCCTGCACGAGGAGATCTGGTTGCGTCGCCCACCTGGCTTCACTGGGTCTTTCCCTCCTAGTACCCAGTGGAGTCTCCGGCGTCCAGTCTACGGTCTCGGCCAGGCGCCACGTGAGTGGCACGACACACTGAGGACTACGCTGGCGGTACTTGGGTTTGCTCCTTCTACTGCCGACCCGTCGCTGATTCTGCGCACCGACACCTCTCTGCCGCCGTTCTACATCCTCGTGTACGTCGACGACTTGGTCTTTGCCACAGGTGACACTGCTGGACTCGCCTACGTGAAGTCCGAGCTGCAGAAGAGACACACGTGCACTGACCTGGGTGAACTGCGCAGCTACCTTGGCTTGCAGATCACCCGGGACAGAGCACGCCGCACCATTACCCTGACTCAGTCACACATGGTGCAGCAGGTCCTTCAGCGCTTCGGCTACACGTAGTCCTCGCCTCAGGCCACTCCTCTGCCTACTCGCCACTCGCTCTCAGCTCTGCCTTCGGATGAGTCCGTAGAGTCGAGTGGCCCGTATGCAGATCTTGTTGGCTGCCTCATGTACCTGATGACCTGCACACGACCTGACTTTGCATACCCTCTTAGCATTCGTGCACGCTATGTTGCTCCTGGGAGACACCGACCAGAGCACATGGCTGCAGCGAAGAGGGTGTTGCGCTACTTGTGCAGTACGTCGGGCATGGGGCTAGTGCTTGGAGGGCGCAGTCCAGTGGTCCTCACTGGGCACGCGGACGCTTCTTGGGCTGACGACCAGGCTACGCAGCGGTCGTCACAGGGTTACACCTTCAGCCTTGGTTCCGGCTCTGTTTCGTGGCGGGCTACCCGCTCGTCTTCTGTCCTCGGCTCCAGTTGTGAGGCTGAGATCTACGCCGGGCCTATGGCTGCCCAGGAGCTTCGCTGGCTCACCTACCTGCTGATCGACCTTGGAGAGCCGCCTCGTTCTCCTCTAGTCCTGTACGTAGACAACAAGGCCATGCTGGCCTTGTGTCGAGAGAAGCGACTGGAGCACAGGACAAAGCACATTGCTCTCCGCTACTTTCTTGCTCGTGAGCTACAGCAGCGTGGACAGTTGCGACTTGCGTACGTGGCCTCTGAGGCCAACACTGCTGATGTCTTCACCAAGGCACTTGCGCTTTGTGATCATCAGCGCTGCTGCACGCAGCTGGGTCTTGTGCCTGTCTTGCCTCACTTGCTCACTTCTTGACCTTGCTTGTACCTTCACCTATATATACTCTTGCTCTTGCTTGCTTGACTCTTGTATATCTCTATATATGATCTTGCATGTGAACTGGCCTTCTTGCCTTTGAACTTGTGCTCGGAATGTGTGGTGACTTTGTGATCCACCCTGAGCTTTGCTTTGCTTTGCTTGACTGGTCTTGTAACCCCTTGTTCTCCCCCACTTTGCCTATGGGGGTGTGTCAGAACATTATAGCTTACTTATTTGTGTAGGCTATAGTGGGGTATCCCATAGGGGGTACAACCCAATTAGGGTTTCCTATTTGTACTCACTTCGTTCATAGTCATTTCATTCTCGTTCTATTCTTCTCACAGAGCTGCCGCCTTCTCCGACAACCACCGCTTTATTGTGTCCTGCTCCGTCAGAAACATCCCGACCTGCCGGATCGCCATGCTGTCTAACCGGTCCTTCGAGTCGATTAGTCCCAGCCCTCCCTCTTTCTTGGGGAGTCTTGCCAGTTCTCCGCTCCAGAGGACGAAAGTCTTATCTGCCGTCGCCTCCCCTTTTGAGACGTAGTTGTCACAGGTCTTGCAAATCTTTGCCCATAACTCCTCCGGCGGTAGATAGATTCGCGCCTGGAACAGGAGTATTGGCATGATGTAACAATTGATGACTGTTACCCTGATCGTCGTCAGTAGATGTTGACTCTCCAACTTGGCCAACTCCTTTCTCCCTCTTTCTCACGCTTTCTCCCAAGAGGGTGCCGCATCAACATCTGGTGTCACCCAGATGCCCAACAGACGCTCCGGAACCCCTGCCTTGGCCCATTTGAAGGAGACCCCCGGTAAGAACGTTCTGCCTTTGTTCCTTCCCAGGGGCATCACAATTGACTTGTCCTTGTTGATCCGCAGGCCTGAAATATCCCCGAACCAGTCGAGGGCTGCTGCCGTTGAGTGCAGTTGCGCTTCTCCCCGGAGGATCAGAGGAAGTTTCGTCCGCGTACCCCACGTATGACACCGCGTCTCCGCCGTCTGCTCTGACCCCCAAATCGCGCCCCCTTATTTCGGCGCAAAGCGGCTCCAGGGCGCACAGGAAGAGGTAAGGCGCGAGCGGGCAACCTTGCCTTACTCCTCTCTGCATCTCCATCCGTTCACCTAACCAGCCATTAATCGCCATTCTCGTCCCGGCCCCCTTGTGCCGGCCTTCCGTCCACCTGACAAAGTTCCCCGGCAGCCCGAGCTTCTCCAGCGTTCTGAAAAGGAAGGGCCGCGACACCGTGTCGTAGGCCTTCTGAAAATCCACCAGCAGGAGGTACCAATCCTCCCCGTCGTTGTACGCCGCCTTGATCACGTCAGCCACTACCACGATCGCATCCGCCAGGCTGCGCCCCGGTATGAAACCATGTTGCTCCTTCGAGATTACTTGATGAAGCTCCTTCTTGAGCTTGTTCACTAGGACCTTGGCCAGGACCTTGTACACCGTCGTGAGGAGCGTGATCGGCCTGTAATTTGTCAATAGGTCCTTCTCTCCTTTTTTGTGCAACAGTTTTGTTAGTGCCGTTGTCAGTGATTTTGGCAGCACCCCCGTTCGCTCAAAACCTCTGACAAATTCCATGAAGCACTCCCCCAGCAGGTCCCAGTGAGACACAAAAAGTTCCGCCGGCAGGCCGTCCTGACCTGGTGACTTCCCCTTTGGCAGTCCGATCAACGCCGCCTTGACTTCGGGTTCCGTCCACGGGGCACCGAGCTTGGCCGCCGCCTCTGACGGCAGCACCCGGTCCACCACGAAATCAGCATCCGCCGAATGTGGCCCCACCTGGACCTCCTTGAACGCCTCCTCAAAGTGAGCTGATGCCGCTTTGAATACTGCCTGTGATCCCCTACATCGCTCACCCCTGAATCGCACCTCTTCTATCAAGGTACGTTCCTTCCGCATCTTCACTTTGGTCGACAGGTAGGGGGAGGGGATCTCCCCTTGCAGCTCCGTCGTGCATCCCGCGAAAACCTCCGGCCTCTCTCTTTCATTCTCGCGGTACGCTTCTAGTTGCTCCTCCCTGGTCAGCAGCAGCGAGTTTGTTTTGTCGTCTGTCGATCCTCCCTTGACCAGGTGACGCAGCTGCTCGACCTCCTCCATGAGGTGCAGCTGCGTTGCTGATATTCGTTTTCTTTCTTCCATTTCGTGCGTGCGGAGCCCCACCATCGTCCTTGATATCAGACAGTCTAGGGACTCCCGACCCGCCTGGCTGAGGGCATCCTTAATCCCCTGTATCACCTTCCTTACCCCCTTCTTTTTCCTCCTGGTTGCGTAAAACCTCCAAAGACCAGGCCCGTACGCTTGTTCTGACACAAATTTCAGCCGAATCTTTATGGCAAACCAGTGATCGGATAGGTTCCTTGGTACCTCCACATGCCGAGCTCCCTCCAGGTTGCCCAGCAGCGACATAGACACCAGGGCCCTGTCGATCCGGGACTTTGACTGCGCGGCCTTCACTTTGAAGGTGTATTCCCGCCCCGTGGGATGCAGAGCTCGGAAGGCATCCCGGAGGTCGTACGCATGTCAGGCGTCAAGAAACCTCTGATTTTCTCTCCCTGACCCTGTTCTCGGAGACCTGTCCAGATCCAGATCCGCGACCATGTTCAGATCCCCGACAATCACTAGATGCTTAGACTGCGGCTACGCCTGTATAAACTGCAACAGGTGCTCTCTGTGAAATTTCGCCCTGTTGCAGGCTTGCGCCGGGAGGTAAGCCGCGACCAGCCTAAACGGCTCCTCCCCCCCCTACACTGTCACCCCCAAAAGCCTCCTTGATGGGTCTACTACCACATCAGAGAACCGGATGTGCCTGCTGAACGTCATGTCAGCCACGCCTCCTGCCGCTAGGCTTGGCCCGACCGGAAGTCGGTGAATGCCTTCCCGAGGAACTCCCCTCCTCGATCGGAGCGAAGCGACAGCACCGACTTCTTCGTCTATCGTTCCACCAGCACCAACCACGTCTGGAACTCCTGCAGCACGTCGCTCTTCTTAGCGACAGGCATTGCCCACACGAACCGAGTATGGCAATCCTTCAGCAGCAGAAAGTACAAGCTGCCATCCTTGGCAGCCACCCGAAATGGCCCGCACAGGTCAATGTGCACGACAGCCAGTGCCTCCTCGGCGTCCGAGCCCTTGTTGGGAAGGTGTGCCGTGCCAGCTTGCCTCCGATGCACGAAACACACGGCGGGTCTGCTCCAGTCGGCGGCTTGATGTCGAGCCCAGTAGCAACGTCATGCTTCGCCGAGCTCTTGATCGTGTCGATGCCGACGTGCGCAAGTCTCGCATGCAATCGGTCAGGGGACGCCTCCATCTCCGAGGTGATCGTCCGCAGAGCCACCACCTCGGTCGACGACGATTGCGTCGAGCAGGGACGAAGGTCGGTGCAGAGGACTCGTCCGGCATAGCGTGCTCGACCGAGCACCTCCCCGGTGGCGGCGACGAGCAGCATTTCGTCGCCGTCGCCCTGCAGTTGCACTCCGTTCTCCTTCAGTTGGCCAGCTGGCAGCAGATTCGCATGTACTCGCGGAACGCATTGCCGACACCAGGCTCTTATGAATCATCGCAGGTGAGATCACGGCCGACACCCCTTTCAGCAGCACCTCGATCGCCTCTGGGTGAGCAGCACGCTCCCGCTGGTACTCCTTGTTCTCTGGGTGTTGCCAACCGAGCGTTAACTTTTTGTCATTCACCGTGTAGTGTTCGATCTCCCTGCTACGCATAAAAGCTGCTTCAGCCTCTTGCAGGAAAACCACCTCAATACGCCCAAAATGTTGCTTCGAAAGGAAGGTCGCCGAAAGTTGCTGACATCTGGTTGTTGTCCCCGCGTTCTCCGACATGTGCTTTCCCCACATATTCAGCAGGTGGTTAACCGTGCCGATGATGTGCGGGATCTCTTTGCTCCAGGCGAAAGGGACCAGGAACATGATAGCAACACCAGCCAGCGCTGCGATCTCATTAAGCACCGCCGGGTCCTTATATCGTCAGGGTCGTCACTGAGGTAACCCCCATCGTCGTCCGCGTCATTGACCTTAGCCTTCCCCTTGTCCAGATCCACCGCGTCAGACGAAGAGGCCGCTGGAGCCGAGCCATTGACGCTAGTGTTGACAGTTTCCCCTGCAGGCTGATCATTGATGCGCAGAGCCGACGTACGGGCTGTTAACTCGTTGACCGCCGACGCTCCATTAAAGAGCGTCTTCGGGGTGATCAGCTCAGGACGTGCGTCCAAAGACTTCTTCCTTTGAGGACCCCCAACCAGAGGAAGAGCAGTAGAAGGCCCGTCAGTGAGAGCCATGTTGTGATGATGATAGCAAAGGCTAGAGTTGCCGACAGAAAGCCGCTCAATGGAACTAAGCACCAGAATCTCATCTAAGGTCTTGTGTTTTTGCTTCCACCAATGCCCGTATAAATAGCAGCAGAGACGCTTGTAAAGCGCCTCGAGCAGAACAGTCTTGATAATAGCCGTGATGGACCCATTGAGAACTTCACACGCACAGGGAATGTCATTGTTACAGGTAACCTTGGAAGCGCCTGACAATAAGGCCGAATGATCAATGTTCGCTTGATGAATATAAAAAGTGTACCACCAGGCTCCTAAAGTCTTAAGGAGTTTGTATCTAGGCTCCAATGTAACAACTGACAAGAAATTGTGGGACATTGACACGTGTGAAAGTCTCGGGATCAGCCATGGCGGTCTCGAGGCTGTCATAGTTGGGGATGGAACCATAATCGGTAGTTGTAGGCAAAAACGGGAAGGGTCCACGGGTGGATGCGCGAGCAAGGCAAACCGGGGTGAAAGCCAGCTCGATCGCCTTTGCATTGAAAACCGATCGTGAGATTGATGCTTATGGTTGTTTTGCTATTAGTTTTTGGATTTTGGCATTACGTAGATTTGGACCGCACTCTTCAACTTGCAGTAGCACGGTTTTCCACGCTGATCAATGTCGCATGACTAACTGGAAGAAAAATAAAATCGACTATGGTTTGGGGGTCGAATAGTAACCCAAAAACTTTATTTTTACACTGTAAGCGAGAGAAATGAGATGTCATCGTCGATCGCGCTGGAGACAGCGACGGGATTGAGAAGTAGTCGCGGTCAAGGGAAACAATTACTTAGAATTTAAAAGTTAAAATACCGAATCAATTATCCCATTCATCATCGTTTTCCTTGAATGTTGGGCTGGTTTGATCTGGAGCCTCTGATTGGCTGCGAAGCTCATTCGTGCAATGATTTGGTCCCGCCAAAAAAGGGACTATAGGGGTCGGGCAAATCCTAGGCGATATGGGAAAATTCTACTCATGGGGGAAAAAGGAACTCTCTCTGCGAAGGCCTCTAACCCGAAACACTTGTACACTCCCCCAGGACTGTGTAGATTCCATGGCCCTTGTTTTTCTGGCATGTCAGCAAGCTCGTCCTTGTTAGTAAATCCACGCCAGGCTATCCACCAGATGTGCGCGTGATAGCTGGCAAAAACTTGGTGCGTTGTGATTCGGCAATCTCAGCCAAGCATATCTTAGGTACGAAATGCGCCAGCTTCGAGAAGTTTGACTCGGTTTGGTTTGGGTTTAGGAAGCGAGCTGTACAGTTTGCCTTCTGATTGGTCACCAAGACTGAAAATGTACATGCTCTACAGTAGAATACGCTCTGCCGAATGTGAACTTTAGCTTACGCTGTCCTCCGCTAGGAACTCACTCACATCACAACATTCTCACCCTGTGCTAGTAGAGTACAATGAAGACCATACCGTCTGTTAAAAAACGACATATCAGAGTGTATACATGTGCCATTCTCTGTATGTGTTTGCAATTTCTATCCTCAAGAACTGCAAGCCAAGCAGATTTACAAACTGAAGAACTACAGCATAAGGTTCAAGCCCGCGTCCTAAATTGCGGACCGCGAGGGTCAAGTTTTTAAAACTTGACGAAGTTGAGTGTCCAAGCTTTGAAAGTCACGCACCTGCAATTTGGGACTTAGGAAGACAGATCCACTCACCAGGGGGAAAACCGAGGGTTGGCTGGGTCTCGCGAAAAAAACGAACCTAGACGAAATTGTGAACTATCGCCAAGGCCCACACCAGAAAAACTCCCTCTGGTCAACTTTTAAAAGCATGAACAATTTGGGCCGCCGGCTTTAAACTAGAGGTTCACAATAGGGAGCTCAACCGTAAATGCTGACATCGACGGTATCAGGAATTTCAGTGTGGTAGCATTTTGCACATCCACAATGGGAGAAACCTGGGTGGAGGAAGGGAGGGGATGTGGAGGCAATTTTTTAACAGTACCTGAAGTGAATCATTGCCAGAAGTGGGTAGCAATACCGTGCAACAGGTGCAGGACCGTGCAGAGCCAGGAATTATCGGGTGCTATCAGCCTTCTAGCATCAAACATTCTAGCTGTTTGGGTCAATAAAGACGGCACTCCCTCATGGAAATTGCAGCTACAGGATATGCACCTGTATGGTCTTATGGTGTTATGGTGCTACAACGAGACCAACATCGCACCACAGATGTTGACAATGTTACCGAAGGATTTATTTGTCACAGGCCAATTAGCAAGGCACTTGCAAAAAAATACCGCGATAGTGAAACTGCCCGTTGCAATACGACATACTGTACGAGGCAAGCCAGAAACTACCTTCACAACACGTAGCATATGAGGCAAGCCAGGCATGACTTTAACAAGATATACCACTGACCTTAGAGTCTACTTAAATCTCAGCTCATATGAGGCAAGCCAGGAATGACATTCGGGAGATGTAGCACTGACCTTTACAGGGCCCTCACGTGTTTTTTCATCGTCAGGGTTGCAGGGTATCTTTGAGAATTTCCAACAATGTGACTTTTGAGTCGACTCAAAAGTCACCTCGTTTCATCGTCAGGGTTGCAGGGTATCTTTGAAATTTCCCAAAACTGCTCTCATTAGGAAGTGGCACTAACCTTAACCGGATCCTCTAGTGAGTTTTCATCGTCGGGGTTCCCCGAGGGGCTGGAGAGACGAGTGAGCAGCACTGGGCCTGAGGCTGCTGTGCCCTGCAGGTCTACATGTAGGGTCACTGCGGATGGCTGGAAGTTGCCAGCCTGGGGTGGGTAAATGGGGTTTAGGGTGCGTTGGATGGGGCATGTGGAGCTGAATTGAAACGAAATGCGTGTTTTGAGAAGCCTGAAAAGTGGAGGCGGCATGGCGGGGACATGTGGAGGGCTGCAGTGGCGAGTGAGCAGCACTGCGCCCCCAACAGCTGCTCCCTGCAGGCCCACTCAAGAGGGTCAGTGCAGATGGGTGGAAGTTGGCTGCCTGGTGTGGGTGGTGCACGTGGAGCATGCATCGCGAGGTGTTCAGCTGTTGCCAGCAGCAAGAGAAGCTCTTAGGAAAGAGAGAAAGGGATGGACGGGGAGAGAAAGGGATGGACGGGGAGAGAAAGGGATGGACGGGGAGAGAAAGGGATGGACGGGGAGAGAAAGGGATGGACGGGGAGAGAAAGGGATGGACGGGGAGAGAAAGGGATGGACGGGGAGAGAAAGGGATGGACGGGGAGAGAAAGGGATGGACGGGGAGAGAAAGGGATGGACGGGGTGAGAAAGGGATGGACGGGGAGAGAAAGGGATGGACGGGGAGAGAAAGGGATGGACGGGGAGAGAAAGGGATGGACGGGGAGAGAAAGGGATGGACGGGGAGAGAAAGGGATGGACGGGGTGAGAAAGGGATGGACGGGGAGAGAAAGGGATGGACGGGGTGAGAAAGGGATGGACGGGGTGAGAAAGGGATGGACGGGGAGAGAAAGGGATGGACGGGGAGAGAAAGGGATGGACGGGGAGAGAAAGGGATGGACGGGGAGAGTCAGACCTTCACGAGAATAGCTGCCGCCGCTGAATTGCCATCTCTTGTGATTCGAACAGCCGAGGCTTCAAACCGCCTTGCAGCTTGCACATCAGCAGCACCACCCTCAGCACATCGGGGGGTGGAGGTGACATCTGAGGAAGGTGCATCGTGACTGGTAGAGGTCCGATTCAAGAGAAGGGCATTTGAAACTGGGAAGGAGGCGGAGGAGGAGGGGGAGGGGGAGGAGGAGGAGGAGGAGGAGGAGGAGGAGGAGGAGGAGGAGGAGGAGGAGGAGGAGGAGGAGGAGGAGGAGGAGGAGGAGGAGGAGGGGGAGGGGGAGCAGTAAGAAGAGGAGGAGAGGGAGAGGCGGGAGGGCAGCAGCGAGCCTCCTTTGGAGCGTTGGAACATGCGGTGCAGCCAGTAAGTGGGCGTGCCGTAGAGGCGGTGTGAGTCAAAGGCTATGAGGTCAGGCGTCCAGCTGGGGGAAAACAGGGAAGGGAGAGTTGGGGGGGTTGGGGGCTAATTCGACGCGGGCAACATGCGGTGCAGCCAGTAAGTGGGCGTGCCGTAGAGGCGGTGTGAGTCAAAGGCTATGAGGTCAGGCGTCCAGCTGGGGAACACGGGGAAGGGAGAGTTGGGGGGGTTGGGGGCTAATTCGACGCGGGCAACATGCGGTGCAGCCAGTAAGTGGGCGTGCCGTAGAGGCGGTGCGAGTCAAAGGCTATGAGGTCAGGCGTCCAGCTGGGGAACACGGGGAAGGGAGAGTTGGAGGGATTGGGTAATGATATTCCGATTCTCTCACCTCCTGTCATGCACGTTGACGAGCAAGGGCGCATAGCTGACCATTGCCACCACGTCACTGCAAAAAGGGAGAAGTGGGGATGAGGGATCGGCCGAATAGGACGTGAGAGGATGTGTGCAGTAGTCAAATCAAGTAAAGTGGAACAAAGTCAAGTCAAGTCAACCCATGCACGTTGAAATTACCATCACATCAGCGTAAATGAGGGAGAGTGGGGAGTAGGGAGCAAGCATCACATGAGAGGTAAAGTCACGTCATGCACGTGAGAAAAAAAAAAGAAGAAAAAAAAAGAGTTTAAGTCAAGACCTGCACGATTGGTGCCCAGCAGGGGGAAACGATTGGAGGAGTCTCGAAGAAAACTTTGATTTCGCCTTTCAAGAGAAGGCAGCACGAGAGGGCAGCCGGAGGGAGCAGCAAGAGAGGCTCACCTGTTCCTCTCCAGCCCGATGAGAAAGCCTGCTTCTGCCACTGCTGCCCGCACATGCCATTTGAATAAGCAGCATTCAAGTGCCATGGCTTCTTGTGAACCACAGGGGACGCTCACCTGTTCCTCTCCAGCCCAATGAGGAACCCCGCTTCTGCCACTGCTGCCCGCACGTTGCCATCCCCTCCCCCCCCTTGCACTGCGAACTCGCTCAGAAAGGCCTGCTGGACGACGAGGTGAGGTGTGGGAGGGTGAGAGGTGGGGGGTTGGGGGTGACGGGAGAACTTTTGAGTCGACTCAAAAGTCAATTCAGGTGGGGGGTTGGGGGTGACGGGAGAACTTTTGAGTCGACTCAAAAGTCAATTCAGGTGGGGGGTTGGGGGTGACGGGAGAAGGGAGAGCGGCGAGGGGTGAGGGGAAAAAGGAGAGGGGCGAGGGGGTGAGGGGAAATGGCATAGGGGGAGAGTGAAGGAATTCGAACCATTCATGGCACAGAATAGCTGAGAAGCGTACCATCCCTGCACGCCACGTCACCTTGGGTCCATCCCTGCTGATGTCATCAAAGTAATGACCCAAGCTGAAGATCCCCTCTGCTGTACCATAGGACTGCGAGCGGGGCAGACAGTCACATGCACACATGCATGGAAGGGAAGGACGTGCGACGAGAGACAATCATCAGGCAGAGGGAATCGAAGTAATGACCCAAGCTGAAGATCCCCTCTGCTGTGCTGTAGGACTGCGAGCGAGAGGTGATCATGCAGGGGGGGAAGCAGGCATACAGAGATACGTGTGGGAAGAAATGGGAACGAGAGACAAAGATGCACACAGATGGACATACATGTGTATGAGAAGGATCACAAGTAATTGAACTTTATGCATGGCGAGTGCACCAGGCGGGAATGCCTTCGAAACGTCACGTGTTGAGACGTCTAAGAGGTCCAGCACATGCAGCCATGTGGCAACCACGAGCAGCACTGCATCACACTGCGCTGCATTGCACTGCACCGCACAACACCACACAGAAGAACACAGAAAAGCTCAGCATTGCGCAGCACCGCACAGAACCGCAGGCTGGAGTGCCATGCCAAGGCAGCCACTCGACGTACGTGGAAATCGTAGAGGTCGGTGGGAGGGTGGTCAGGAGGCCCCTTGCTGACGTCACATGTGTACACCACCGCCATGTCGGGATATGCCGCCTTGATTGCCGCCCGGAAACGAAGGAAGTTGCCTGGAAGGTGGCGAGGGCAAGGCGAGCAGGTGTGGTGGGTGCAGGATGAGAAAGGGCAAGACATACATGCACAGATGAACAGATATATTCTTTCAAACAGCATCGGCTTGCGGCACAGCAACGCTAGGCCTCCACCACTGCTCTACTTCGGTAGTTGTCCCGGTAGCAATTCTCATTCCCAATGCCCACGCGCCCACATGCCCATTCACTCACATCAAACAACACACTTGCTTCCCCTCGTAACACACATGCCCTCACCTCGGTAGTTGTCCTGGTAGCAGTTCTCATCCCGATGCTCACATGCCCACATGCCCACATGCCCACATGCCCACATGCCCACAAGCCCATGTGCCCACAAGCCCATGTGCCCACGTGCCCATTCGCTCACATCAGACAATGCCATGCTTCCCCTAATGATCCACATGCCCTCACCTCGGTAGTTGTCCTGGTAGCAGTTCTCATTCCCGATGCCCACGTGGCGCAGATCAAACGGTTCAGGATGGCCCATGGCCGCCCTCTCCACTCCCCACCGCGAATCCGACGGTCCTCGTGCGAACTCGATTCCGTCAAGAACCTCCTGTGGCGCCACGTGGCAGAGAGGAACACAGAGGATGGGGGTTGAGGAGTGGGTGAGCACGAAAGAGGGACATAGGCCCCTAGCTTAGGAGTGCATGTGCGCTTAAGATTGATCCAACGTGATTCTCAAAGCAGGAACTACCTCAGAAATTTCATGGGTTTTGCTCGACCTTCCATGCCCAAGGTGGGAAGAAGAGAGGTGCGAAGGGGGGAGGGCAGCTGACCTGAATGAAAGGAGCGAGGGCGCCTGTGAACACGCTGTCAGTGTGGCTGTTGCCTGCACGGCAGCGCACGGGTGCATGGGAGTGCATGGAAGAGGGAGAGGTGAGAAGGAGGGAGATGCGAATGGGGTGACCTGAATGAAGGGAGCGAGGGCACCTGTGAACACGCTGTCAGTGTGGCTGTTGCCTGCATGGCAGCGCATGGGTGCATGGGAGTGCATGGAAGAGGGAGAGGTGAGAAGGAGGGAGATGCGAATGGGGTGACCTGAATTAAGGGAGCGAGGGCGCCTGTGAACACGCTGCCCGTGTGGCTGTTGCCTGCACGACAAACCCAGTGAGAAGAAGGGAAAAAGGATGCATTGAGACAAGGCGCAATCCCTCAGTGCATGGGGGTGTATGGGATGGGAGAGGAAGGGACAAAATGGCAGGGCACGTGGGAAAGCACTGATGTATGCTGTTGCATCAAGCAGTGGAGAGAAATTTCTCATAAAGTGGTGTTACATCTGCCCACAACACTGGGCAGGTAGGCCGTCTCTCTGCTCGTGCCCGACATGTGTCAGCTCACTAATATAACATTGACCACACGACACATATGGGCGATGCAACAAGGTCCTCAACACTTTGATCCGAATCTGCTTCAGCTTACCACTGTTGAACACCCAGTCTTACCGCTATTGAACACCCACCCACCCAGGCTCGCCGCTCTAAAACACCCACCCACCCAGGCTCACCGCTGTTGAACACCCAGATGGGAGTGGCGCCAAGGTCTTCTGCAAACTGTAGATACTCAAAGAACCCCAACCCGTCGTCCGACCAATACCCCCACCTGGTAGGTGCGCATGAGTTGGGGAGGAATGAGGGGTGCGCATGGGGCGAAGAGTGGCTGGCATGTGTTGGAACTTGGAAATTAGGCACCTAGCTGATGCTTTGTGAACTGCAAATAATCAAAGAACCCCAACCTGTCGTCCGACCAATACCCCAACCTGGTAAGTGTGCGGTGCACTTGGGGGTAAGTGTGTTGATTGACGGGTGGCGGGATGGGGATCAAGGGCAGACCGGAAGGGCGAGAACAGGAGATGGGCATAACCCTTCTGAGCGGCCAGAGGTGGGTGAGCAGCCAGTGACTAGAAATGAGACCCACCGGTCGTTGAAGTGGCCCGGGCGGAGTTCCCAAGGGCCGATGGTGGAGCGCCACCGGAAGGCATTGGCCAGCCGCACGCCCTCCACGTAGCAGCCCCCAGGGAAGCGCATGAATCCGGGGGAGAGGCCCTGGAGCATGGTGGCTATATCCATGCGCATGCCGTGAGACTGGATGGGTGGAACATGGTTGTATGGGAGTGGGGGTGCAGGGCATTGGGTACTCCCATACACCCATGTAGCAGCTTTCAAAGCAGCCGCACTCCCTCCACGTAGCAGCCCCCTGGGAAGCGCATGAGGCCGGGGCAGAGAGCCTCTAGCATGCCTGCTACGTCCCCTTGCATGCTGTGAGCCTGTGGGTGGAACACGGGTGTATGGGTGTCTGGATGTATGGTTGTATGAGTGCATGGGTGTATGGGTGCATGGGTGTATGGGTGCATGGGTGTATGGGTGCATGGGTGTATGGGTGCATGCGTGCATGGGTGCGTGGGTGTATGGGTGTATGGGTGTACGGGTGGTGTATGGTTGTATGAGTGCAAGGGTGCATGGGTGTATGGGTGCATGGGTGTATGGGTGCATGGGTGTATAGGTGCATGCGTGCATGGGTGCGTGGGTGTATGAGTGTATGGATGTACGGGTGGTGTATGGTCGTATGAGTGCATGGGTGCATGGGTGTATGGGTGCATGAGTGCATGGGTGTATGAGTGTATGGGTGTACGGGTGGTGTATGGTCGTATGAGTGCATGGGTGCATGGGTGTATGGGTGCATGGGTGTATGGGTGTATGGGTGTATGGGTGTACGGGTGGTGTGTGGTTGTATGAGTGCATGGGTGCATGGGTGTATGGGTGTATGGGTGTATGGGTGTATGGGAGGTGTATGGTTGTATGAGTGCATGGGTGCATGGGTGTATGGGTGTATGGGTGGTGTATGGTTGTATGAGTGCATGGGTGCATGGGTGTATGGGTGTATGGGTGTATGGGTGGTGTATGGTTGTATGAGTGCATGGGTGCATGGGTGTATATGGGCCACCCCATGCCCCATGCCCCATGCGACGTCAACCTTCTAGAAGCATCCGACTCACCTTGAATGTCTCAGCAGGCATGGCTGAGATCTGGTCCAACCACAGAGTGCCACGTGTCATGCTGCCAGTGGTGATAGCCAGCGAGGCGTTGTGGCATGTGCCAGTCGCAGCAACAGTGGCCTCATAGCGGTGCCACGTGGCAGCCATGGATTGGTTGAGGCTGGCAGCATCAGAGAAGGAGGGGATTAATAACGGGCAGTTGTGTATCACCAGACAAGAGTATTGGGCACGCATGGGGAAGGAAGGAATGTGGGGTAGTGAAAAGAAGGGGGTTTCAATGTGGTAAGGTGAGGGCATGGTGTGGCATGGCGTGGGGTTGCTTGCATTGGTGTGAATGCACCATTCCATTCCATGGTGTGTGCATGCAAGGGCGTGCTCACAGCATTATGCATTGTGGCGAGCATGAGGACTCATGGGGACGGGACCAGATAACAGCTCACCTGATATGAGCTGAGCCGACAGAGGGGACCGAAGAGAGGCGGCGAGAGGGAGGGAGAGCGGGCGAGCAGAGGAAGGAGAGGCGGAGGGAGAGCGGGGCCGTGGCACGTGCGTGTAGGATGATGTTGTATGTATGGCTTTGCTCTATGCTCTGATGGGGGGGTGGAATGATGGGATGGGAATGGGGCCAAGCGGGGTGAAGGTATGGGAGAAGTGAGCGTGCAGGATGATGTTGCATGCATCGCCTTGCACTATGCTCTGATGGGGGGGTGGGATGGTGGGATGATGGGGCATGGGATGGTGGGGCATGGGATGATGGGGCATGGGATAGAAACGGGACATGGGATAGGGGTGGGTAGAGTAGTAGAAGGGTGTCGTATTAAAACCTATGCGAAGTGATCAGAGTGATAGGGCTGCGTCGAATAGTGCTGTAAGCACGGCCTTGCATGTGGAAGAGCATTCTGATTGGTCCATTGCATGTGGAAGAGCATTCTGATTGGTACATTGCATGTGGAATGGTCAGATGCTGGGAGGATGGGGCATGATGGCATGGTGGGGCATGATGGGAGGATGGGACATGATGAGCCCTCACCATGCCCCAGTAGCCGGGATTGAGCACCCCCACACCATCCTCACACACCCGCCCCTCCTCTCCCTTGCCTGCATCCTCTCCCACCCCTCCCTCCTTGCCTTCCTTCCGCTCCTCTCCGTGTCCCTCCCTCCCGTTGCCACCACCACCAACGCCACGCCCTGTCGGTTCTCCCAGCGAATCTGCGTCTCCCAGGCTCAGCCCCAGCAACCCGCCAAGCCACTGCCTCACAGCCGCCCACGCGCCCACCCCAGTGGCATCCCCAGGAAAATGAGGGGATTCCACCACACGCCTGTGCAATCCCTCCCCTCGGGCAGAGAGCCGGCGGACAGCCTGCTCATGCCGCCTCTTCTCTCGTTGCGAGGGTAGCCTCAAGTGCTGATCGCCCACTCTCTGCTCGCTTTCTTGCTGCGGTGGCACATCAGAGCAGTGGATGTCGATGCGCAGGGCGATGGGGTTGCGGGGAAAGGGCGAACTTCGTTCCGTGCGCAGCAGCACATGGGGCTCGGACCCAATAGGCAGCCATGGTTGCAGTGTGGAGGGGGTTTCCTGCCCGCCTGCTTCGAACCCTGCAGTGAGTCATGAGCGACGGGAAGGTATGATATCTGTGAGGGGAAGGGCGAGCAGCGCTCCTTGCCCAGCAGCACGAGGGGCTTGGACCCGATGGGCAGCCATGGTTGCACCGTGGAGGGCGTCTCCTGCCCGCCTGCTTCTAACCCTGCAGTGATTTGGGAGTAAAGGGAAGGGGTTTGTGGCGGGCGGGCATGGTAAAGGGAAGGGAGCTGTGCGGGGGAAGGGCGAGCATCGCTCTGTGCCGAGCAGCAGGTGGTGTTCGGACCCAATAGGCAGCCATGGGTGGATCGCGGAGGGGGTTTCCTGGCCGCCCGCCTCGAATCCTGTGGTGAGCGCGAGAACGAGAGAGCAGCGCTGAGCGCAACGCACAGCAGCACGTGGGGCTCTAGGTATGCATGGGTGCAGCAAGGAGGGTGGGCGGCATGGGTGCAGCAAGGAGGGCGGGCGGCATGGGTGCAGCAAGGAGGGTGGGCGGCATGGGTGCAGCAAGGAGGGCGGGCGGCATGGGTGCAGCAAGGAGGGTGGGCGGCATGGGTGCAGCAAGGAGGGTGGGCGGCATGGGTGCAGCAAGGAGGGCGGGCGGCATGGGTGCAGCAAGGAGGGCGGGCGGCATGGGTGCAGCAAGGAGGGCGGGCGGCATGGGTGCAGCAAGGAGGGCGGGCGGCATGGGTGCAGCGAGGAGGGCGGGCGGCATGGGTGCAGCGAGGAGGGCGGGCGGCATGGGTGCAGCAAGGAGGGCGGGCGGCATGGGTGCAGCAAGGAGGGCGGGCGGCATGGGTGCAGCAAGGAGGGCGGGCGGCATGGGTGCAGCAAGGAGGGCGGGCGGCATGGGTGCAGCAAGGAGGGCGGGCGGCATGGGTGCAGCAAGGAGGGCGGGCGGCATGGGTGCAGCAAGGAGGGCGGGCGGCATGGGTGCAGCAAGGAGGTGGGGCGGCATGGGTGCAGCAAGGAGGGTGGGCGGCATGGGTGCAGCAAGGAGGGCGGGCGGCATGGGTGCAGCAAGGAGGGTGGGCGGCATGGGTGCAGCAAGGAGGGTGGGCGGCATGGGTGCAGCAAGGAGGGCGGGCGGCATGGGTGCAGCAAGGAGGGCGGGCGGCATGGGTGCAGCAAGGAGGGCGGGCGGCATGGGTGCAGCAAGGAGGGCGGGCGGCATGGGTGCAGCAAGGAGGGCGGGCGGCATGGGTGCAGCAAGGAGGGCGGGCGGCATGGGTGCAGCGAGGAGGGCGGGCGGCATGGGTGCCGCAAGGAGGGTAGGCGGCATGGGTGCAGCAAGGAAGGGGTTTCCTGGCCCCTCGCCTCGAATCCTGCAGTGGAGAAAGGGCACGTCACAGGCGTGGGGGGTGACACTCAGCGCTCCATGCAGCACAGCAGCTCGTGGGGCTGTCAGCGGATGGGGCATGCCATGGGTGCACCGTGGAGGGAATGGTTAGACATTCCAGCGAGCAGCAGTTGAAGGGAGAATGTTTAGCAAATGAGAAAACAGATATAGAAAGAAAGCATAGCTGATTCACGTAGGATGCCATGGGTGATTCACGTAGGGGGATGCCATGGGTGCACCGTGGAGGGGCATGCCATGGGTGCACCGTGGAGAGGGGTTCTTGTCGCTGCAGTCAGAGGGACGGGCGTGCGGGGGGGGAATGGGAGGAGGTAGGTGTGGGAGTGGCTGTGGGGAATAGACAAGGGGGTATGCATGTATGGGTGCGTATAAGAGAGAAAACGACCTCCTTGCATCCATTCTCCTCCCCCTACCCTTCTTCGCAACTGACCTCCTTCCCATTTCCCTTCCCCCCCTGCTCCCCCCCCCCTTTTCCGCTTCTCCCCCCGCCTCCCGTTCTCCCCCCCCCTCCAACTTGCCTCGGTTCTGCACCAGCTCCGCGTACAGCCCTCCCGCGCCCCCGTGGTTGATCTCCTGCGCACAAACACACACACGCATGCGCCACACACACATGCGTGCGCCACACACACGCGCGCGTGCGCCACACACATGCGTGCGACACACAGCATATGCACGCTCACATGCACACACAAATGCACACGCCCAGGACTGACATTGGAAGTCCTCTCGAATCTCGGCAGAACGCAGAGAGATAGAGAAGCAACCCCATTCATGATCCGAGACGTCTCAGAATATGGTACTAGAAAAGGCATTCCGGGGAATATGCGGGAAAATGGACACGCAATCCCCACGAAGCAACTACCTCGAGAAATATGCCGTAAAAGGAAGGCGATATCGGACGGCCTTGCGCAACCCCATCGACGGTCAGTATCGCATGATCAACCCAACGCTCCGCATGCGCCGTGGCTGAATCATTTTCCGGGGTTGCTGGCAATACGACTGCCTCAGCAGACGAGTCAGCGAGCCTGAACGATTCGTTCAAAGGCGAATGAACGTTGCTCGTGGATGAAAGCTTTGGGAACTTGAAGCTAGAACGGCAGAGAGCGACGAGAGTGACAAGAAGAGCGACAAGAATGAGAAGCGCGAAACGCCGTGGGAGAGAAACATAATTTCTAGCGTGAACTCGCGAGAGGAGAACGGGAGGTGCCATGGCTCCAAACCAGAATCAATCCGGAATTCTGAGGGTGAGGAAATTGATCGAGTGAAGGAATTTTTACATTATATGCAACATTGAGTGGTCCGGTAATACATCCGAAACAAAGACGCACCATGTCGCTATACGTATATATTTCGTTCACTACGGAGTCCTTCGATAAAACACATACCATAAATGCTCCATAAGCCATCAAACAGCTACTAACATACCAATAGCAGCTACCAATACATCGCAAAAGGGATTCTCTACTTAATACATACCGTAACGTATGCGCACTGTGCGTGGACTGTGCACTATAACCTAGTCTACAACCACATATTCGTTGGGAAAGATAAGGTCAGGGTTGTAAATGTCCGGGTTGAGTTCTGCAATCTCCTTCCAGTTGCGCTTCCCGACCTGCTTTGAAATGTTTATGAGAGTGTCTCCTTTCCTTATTTGGTATTTCTTCCTGCGACAGCACAAAAGAAAACAGATGGAGCAAGCTTAGTACGACATGATAACATGATGCACAAACCGCAAAAGAAACGGTGCAGCATCAAATAAGAAGCAAAACCGGAGGCACAGAAACTCTCACCTGGATGGTCGGAACAGCAGCATCACAGCCACAAAAGCGATTGCCCCTCCAACAATAGCTCTCCACGGGGCATGTGATGCTGCCCGGGGCGAAGACGGGCAGGATGAATAATCAGATTCCAAATCCTCCTCCCCTTCCGTATGGCAAACAGTTGTGACACCTGCCGAAACGTCCGTGAGAGAGGAGGTTGTTCCAGCCGACGTGGTAACCGCATCCGAAGACGGATCACGAGAAGCATCCAGGCTGGCATAGAAGCTGCCTGCTGCTTCCACTGAGACTGCCAGGCGGTTGGAGGGGGGAGGCCAGACCATGTGAGGGTCCAGTCTTGAGACGGGAGGAACATCTGACACACCGCTCTTTGGTTTTGGTTCCGGTTCGTTAGAGGTGGAGCTGAAGCCTTTGCTGACAAAGCCTGACACTTTCCCCTTTCCCTTCCCATTCTCCATCTGCTTCGCTTCTTGGCCCCCTGCCTTGCTACCAGCAGCAGCACCACCACCATCGCCATCACCACCACCGACACTACTGCCACCATTAACACCACCAGTGCCACCATCACCAGCAGCACCAGCTGCAGCGCTGCCCCAGCCATTTATATCAAAGCTGTTTTCTGAGCCTGATTGGCTGGCAGGCACGTCCTCCCTACCCCACCCGCGCCTGTAGTTGGGCCCCATGAACTCCCTGACAGCCCTGTCCACCACGCCCCCCTCTGCTGGCATGCGCTTCGCCACACTAACTGCTGCCGCTGCAGACGCTGGCTCAAAGTCTATCGCCTGGATTGGTGAGGGGTGGCGGGGGGGGGGGAAGTTTGAGGTTAAAGGTTGGGTCGCCTCAGATGCCAGCTCATAAGTCCATGGCCTGGTGGAGGGTAGTGGTACGAAGGTTCATATTCGACTTGAATGCCGGCTCAAAGCCTGTGGGCTGACGAAGGGTGGGGGTAGGGGAGTGAACAATTCAAATTAGGGTTTGGGTCCACTCAGATGCTGGCTCAAAGTCTACAATGGGTATACAAGAAGAGCTCACCTGTATGCCTGCTGCTCTGAGCTTGAGTGCGAGGGTGCGGATGCAGAGGCAGATGCGTTGAGAATTGGGAGGAACGAAAGAGGAAAAGAATAAAGAAAGAGAAAAACTAGATGGATTATACAACATGAAGCTCTCACCACTATGCTGCTCTCACCAATATGCCGCTCTCACCAGTATGCCGCTCTCACCAGTATGCCAGCTGCTCTGAGCTTGAGTGCTAGGGCGCGGATGCAGACACAGACGCGTTTGGTGCCCTTCTTCTCCACCACGTCTGTGGATGTGAACAGGTCGATGGCACTCAGCCCAAACGCCTTGCACATCTGCCGTGGCAGGGGAGGTGATAGTGGGGGTTGAGATGCTGTTGGGCACTTGAACTGACTGAGGCCATGTGGACAGGAGGAGGGAACGCAGCCCATACTCCTCATGCATATGGCGTGACATAGAGGGCGGGGATAAGGGGCTCGTGGCAGGAGGGTGAAGTGAGTCAAGTGAGTAGTGCAGCGTAATGAGATGGAGTGGTGAGATTGAACGGTGGAGAAATCGACATGGTCAGGTGTAACTTCTTGAGAAACAATGGGAACAATCTGGTAAGCTGAAGTGGGTTTCTGTGAGAAGAAACGAAAGCCCGAAAGGCGACAGGTGGGGAGGTACCGTGAGGAAGTTATCAGTGAGGATCATGGCATCCCACTTGATCTTTGTGCCCCATCCCTGCTGCTGTTGCTGCTGCTGCTGTCGTAGATTGATCCCGGCACTCTTTGGTGCAAACGGCGAGAGGATGTCAGTCAGGCGTGACCTGATGATGCAGAGCAGAGAGGAGACCAAGCGAAGGGCACAGCGGAGGCCCAAGGGGAGGGGAGAGTGACTTGATAAGAAAAAAAAAACCCACAAAAAAAAAATGATCAGTAGAAATATACTTTACTGGAAATAACGGGAAATTGTGAATAGATTACTTGATCAGGAGGGCAAACGTAGAGCAATGGGAAGGCACTCACAGGATCATGCCGTCTGCAAGGGTATCTGCCAGGGCGGCATCTGGCGGTAGCTTCTCTTTCAACACTGCCTCCAGCCAGTTCCGGACCCGTGTCTGCACGGGTGATGATGGCGCCGAGAATGTGACACACACACGTGCACACATGCACACATTTACACACGCACGCACGTACGCACACACGCACACGAACTGGATCACAGGTTGGCGACTTTGTTCGTAGAGCTTTTTTCTCTTTTTTATTCTCGAAAGCCATATCACTGCTCGCACGCACGCGTTGCAAGGCACCTCAAGCCATCATATGTTGGATGCACGATTAAGGGCGTGGTAGGAGTCACATGCTACGTTACCTCCTGACGCTTCGCAATACGAGATAAGCCAATCCACCGATCGCACGCACGCGTCGCAAAGGCACCTTGAGATCATTTGAGTGACGTTGAATACACATTAAGGGCGTCGTACGAGTGACATACAACATAAGCTCCAGACACGTCGTTCAGCGCTGCAGCCCGGTGCTGGCGCTCTCACACCGTTACAGCGCGGTACGCTTCGGTTCCTTGACGTCTCACGCGGATGTTCGGGTCTCTCATTCCTCTTCTACCACACCGTAACGAGCTTCAGTGCTCAAACCTAATCGTACCTCGAGAATGCCGTCAACGAAAGGATCCCATTTGGTCCGGGAGCCCATCGTCAGCCCAGCTCGAAAGAGCAGCAGAAGGCGGCAGGGATGCTTGATCGCGAACTGGAAGCGATCAGAGTCGAGCGGTTGCGGCAGGAGTATGGCTGACACTCGCCCGTAAAGCAGATGCTCGCACGTAGGGCTGACGCTTGGTACTCTCAAGAGTGACAATGGGAGCGCAGAGGTGCCGCGTGAGGATGAAACCTATGGCTGCCTAAAGTCAAATACCACTAAGGCTTTCAAGTCAAGCATCCAGCGCAATGTTGTACGATCGATAGCGAGTTTATCATCGGCCGAACTGCGACGCCACTTCCTTTTCGGCGGTAGCTTCAAACGAAATAGCGTCTGCTACGGATTTAGGTGCATCTGGTCAAGTATGACTTGTGACCGCCGTGACCCACGGGTACTGACAGCGACTGCAGGAAGCGCAAGCAGAATTGATCCGAGGTTCCTGGGAATGCCACATCTGATAGTGACTGAGGGGATCTTCTGGCGGCAATTTCAACAATGAGGAAGCAAGACCAATGTCAAATGATAATGATTTGCCGTTCTCATTCTGCGGTGAACTATATTGTAGGTTAGAGTATATTTTTCTGCCGACCTTAACGAGCTCGGATTGTGTCATATATCTTCAGGTGTCACTCTCTGCAATCACTTCAGGTCAGAGCGGCCTTAGTCATCAGTTCCCAAGGTTCGGCCTTGCGAGGGAATTGTGTGTGCAACGAATCGGTTTGTTCACGAAACTGGTTACACAAAGGTTGGGTGTTGACGAACCGGTTACCAGCCTGGGTGTCAACATTCCACCAGCGTTTCGCTCCCTGAAGATTTTACCCGCAGGCCGATTCCTGAATCGTTCGAGACTTGCTTTCATGTTTAGCTGGCGTGCCTAGTAGATGATCAGAGAGCATTGACTTTCTGATCGAAGGTTGCACAGCGGCGCATGCGCTCCGTTGAGATTCGCCCGCGAAGAAGACATTACTGCCTGCACGGGCTCTTGTTTGTAACTGGCCACCTAGTGGCTCGACCGAAGGGACCATCTCGAGCAAACGGATTCGTACCCTGATGGTTCTTGTCTTTCACGTCGTCGAGATGAAGCTTCCTCGAAACGCGAGCTAAGGGTCGTCCATGTCGCCACGTTCTCGCGCGTTGAAGCAGCGGAAGCACATGATTCCCTCAAGAGTAATTCTCTCACTCCTCGCTGCATCACTGTTGCTCGTTGTCGAACATGGAAGACTCACAGGATTCAACATCCAATGTACTGACCACCGATCATATCGGCCAACTGGCCGAGCTCAAACTTCTTCTGTGCGCTTATTACATATTCTGCAGACGTACTGGCCGAACTCAGCATCCAGTGCACTGCAGACCAACTAAAGACGCACTTTACCTGCCAGCCTACCGGCCAAGTCACCAAATTCAACATCCAGTGCACTAGAGACGTGTCACTAGCGGTCTGCTATCTAAATCACCTGTTGCGTCTGCTCCTGTACCTGTTCATACCGTCTCGACTAGTTTCAGCTTCTCATTTTGATGCGTCACCCACTACTACCAGCACTCAAGGCTATCGCAACATGTGGCTTCTCATGCGCGCAGTAGTAGCAACACTGATCACGTTATTCATATTCCCCGTCCTCCTCCCTCTCTTTTCAGATGCGTCAATCAGTACCGCTGCCGGCGCTGACCGGCTCACGCATCGTATGGCTGCTCGTCTGGGCAGCAGTCGCAGCGCTGGTGGTCGTGCAGCTCGCACCGAGATCGAAAGTGCGGGAGAACTCTCGAGTTTTGGACATGGACGAGGAAGGAGAGGACGAGGATTTTAATGGGGGACCGCCAGATCCGTTGCAGATGCTGCAGCGGCAAGGAATCAAATACGACCTCGTTCCAGTGAGACCCTTTTCATTGAACTGGATCCTCGTTGCAAATCCTGGAAAAGCACTGGTGCCAGCTGTCCGTCGTGCTAACGTTCTCACGTTCTCCACTTCTTCTGCGAGCAAGTTTTCTTGAGACGTGTCAGAAACCGTCAGCCTCTCTATTCCGTGCTGTGCTCACCTCATCGTTCCTTCCACAAATTAGCACCCTCGTTCAGATCCCCTTGCCTTCCAAAATTTCGATCTTTGTATGTGGTGCTGTGCTCACCCCACTGTCCCGCTCACAGATTCGCGCTCCCTCTCAGATCCTCCTGTCGTCAGCCAGCCAGTCTCTTTCGTACCCAAGCAGCAGTGTTGGCGAGCAGGAGCCAGAGCAGCTCCTTGTGCCAGCTTCAGAGCCCAGCAGCCTGAGCTACAGGGTGAGTGGGTGCGCTGGGTGCGCTGGGTGCGGTGGGTGTGGTGGGTGTGGTGGGTGGGTGACGGTGTGGTATGTGGCTGGGAGCTGGCCGCTAGTTAGTCAACTTAGACCGCCTGCATCCCAGCCCAGTAGCCTGAGCTACAAGGTGGGTGTGTGACGGTGTGGGTGTGTGCCGGTAGGTGCGTCACGGTGCGGGTGTGGTGTGTGGCTGATAGCTGGTTAGCTGTCCTCACCTGAGGCACAGCTTAGCTCCTGCCTGCATCAGATCTCAGCAGCTTTGGCTACTATGTGGGTAGGTGCGGTGACGTTTCTCTGGGAATCTGTTTAATAGGCATGTGTTTGTTGGTAAACGTGAGTGGCTGGGCGAGCAGTGACAAGATTTCGTGCTTAAAATGCTGTGAATTGAGAGTCTTTTCCTCCTGAGTATTTTGAAAACCATCATGCTCTTGAGGCCATGCCACGCGATGCCATTTCCCATGCTATGCCTTGTGCCATGCCATGCCACCCCATGTGCCATGCCATTCCACCCCATGTGCCATGCCATGCCATGCTACCCCATGTGCCATGCCATGCCACCCCATGTGCCATGCCATGCCACCCCATGTGCCATGCCATGCCACCCCATGTGCCATGCCATGCCGTCCGATGTGCCATGCCATCCCATCCCATGTGCGATGGCAGGCAGAGGACCTTCAAAAGCGGTTGTGGCAGAACCCTCCTTCGCATGGGTATGGGCCTTGTGTGGAGCCCAGTGAAAGCTACAAGCGAGGTGAGCAGAGGGGTGAAGGGCTTTGTGAGGGGTTGTAGGCCTTGAGATGCTTTGAGCGACTTTGCCTTCCTTATTGTGCCACTTCAATGTGCTGTACAAAGTTAACTTCCTGATTATTTGTATGTGGAGTGTACAATATGTTTGTATGTACGTACATTGTCTTTGTGACTGTATGGCATGGTCGGCTTGGCACTGTTTGGTATGGCATGACACCGGTGATGCTTCTCTGGATGGCATGGCGTGGCATGCCATTGCATGGCATGGCATGGCGTGGCGTGGCGTGGCGTGGCATGGCATGGGGCAGCCAGTGGGAGGAGGACACGAGGCTATCTGACGGTGCATGCCAATGGAGGGCTCAACCAGATGCGCGCTGGGGTATGTATGGCATGCGCCGTGGTTAATGTCTGCCTGGATGCCTTGTATGCCATATCACACCACCTACTCGCCCGCCTCACATTGCGCAGTCTCCATCACTTCACTATTTTACTCTCACATTCACTGCTTATTTGTTACATGGTGGCTTCTGGTCCTTTCGTTTTTCTCGTCTCTTTGATTCACTTTTGTGTCCTCTCCCATTTCCATATTGTCACAAACGGATCTGCGACTAGGGTGGCTCCAAATTCTAGCTTTTGTGTTCCTATTCGACCATTTCGTTATTATCACAAGCAGATCTGTGACATGGTGGCAGTGGCACGAATCCTCAACGCCACTCTCGTCGTTCCCGAGCTCGATAAGAGCTCCTTCTGGCAGGACTCCAGGTGTGGTGCGGTGACTCCAGGTGTGGTGCGGTGACTCCAGATGTGGTGAGGTGATTCCAGGTGTGGTGAGGTGACTCTAGGTGAGGTGAGGTGACTCCAGCTGTGGTGCGGTGACTCCAGGTGGGGTGCGATGACTCCAGGTGTGATGCGGTGACTCCAGGTGTGGTGCGGTGACTCCAGGTGGGGTGAGGTGACTCCAGGTGTGGTGAGGTGACTCCAGGTGTGCTGCCGTGATTGCAGGTGTGGGACTGTAGGTGTGGGACTGCAGGTGCGGGACTGCAGGTGTGGGACTGCAGGCGCGGAACTGCAGGTGTGGGACTGCAGGTGCGGGACTGCAGGTGCGGGACTGCAGGCGCGGGACTGCAGGTGTGGGACTGCAGGTGCGGGACTGCAGGTGCGGGACTGCAGGCGCGGGACTGCAGGTGCGGGACTGCAGGTGCGGGACTGCAGGCGCGGGACTGCAGGTGCGGGACTGCAGGTGCGGGACTGCAGGTGCGGGACTGCAGGCGCGGGACTGCAGGCGCGGGACTGCAGGTGCGGGACTGCAGGCGCGGGACTGCAGGTGCGGGACTGCAGGTGCGGGACTGCAGGCGCAGGACTGCAGGTGCGGGACTGCAGGTGCGGGACTGCAGGTGGGGGACTGCATTCGCGGGACTGCAGGTGCGGGACAGCAGGTGCGGGACTGCAGGCGCAGGACTGCAGGTGCGGGACTGCAGGTGCGGGACTGCAGGTGCGGGACTGCATTCGCGGGACTGCAGGCGCGGGACTGCAGGTGCGGGACTGCAGGTGCGGGACTGCAGGCGCGGGACTGCAGGTGCAGGACTGCAGGTGCGGGAATGCAGGTGCAGGACTGCAGGCGCGGGACTGCAGGTGCGGGACTGCAGGCGCGGGACTGCAGGTGCGGGAATGCAGGTGCGGGACTGCAGGTGCAGGACTGCAGGTGCGGGACTGCAGGTGCGGGACTGCAGGTGCGGGACTGCAGGTGCGGGACTGCAGGTGCGGGACTGCAGGTGCGGGACTGCAGGTGCGGGACTGCAGGTGCGGGACTGCAGGTGCGGGACTGCAGGTGCGGGACTGGAGGTGTGGGCATACCTTGTCCGACGTATTTGACATGGACCACGTCATCTCCTCCCTCGCTAGCAGGCGTTGTGCCTCAACCCCATCATCCTCACGCTCTCATCCCCGTCCCCTCTCCCCCCCTCTTACCCTCCCATCCGCAGCAACTTCTCTGACGTGTTTGACACGGATCACTTCATCTCAGCGCTAGCAGGCGATGTGCCAGTGGTGCGGCGCCTGCCCCGCGAGCTGAAGCTTGCAGAGGTGAAGCGCGTTCACTTCACCAGCTGGGCGCCCCTCACCTATTACTCCAAAGAGATCGGCCGCTACTGGCGCCAGTTCAAGGTGAGGCGAGGGGGAACATTCGGCAGTTGGTGGGGGGTGGCACTTCAACCAACCGCCTCACAAGTCACCGCGAGCTGAGGCATGCAGAGGTGAAGCGCATGAACTTCACCAGCTGGGCTCCCCTCGTTAACTACTCCAAGGAAACTGGGCGCTTCTGGCGCCAGCACAAAGTGAGAAAGGGGTTCCTAGGCGACTTTTGAGGCGCCTCAAAAGAACTTCACCAGCTGGGCTCCCCTCGCCAACTGCTCCAAGGAAACTAGGCGCTTCTGGCGCCAGCACAAGGTGAGAAAGGGGCTCTAGGCGCTTGAGCAACAGCCTCGTCTGCACACACCTCTCTCTTTCAAGAATCGCCTCAGGGATGCATTTCGCTACCTGCTTCCTTTCCCCTTCCCCCTGTCCTCCCCTTTCCTCTCCTGACATCCCGCTCCCCCAACAACCTTTATCAACCCCATCCACCTCTCTTCCCCCAACCCGCCTGCCAGGTGCTATGAGCCTTTAAGACGGATTAACGTCTGAAACAACGGGCTTCCGGATTTTGCTGCTTGCATGTCTCATAACCCTCCTCCTCTCCACCCAGCCTGTCTCTCAGGTGTGACCTGCCTTGAAAACGGACTCATGCCTGGCCAACAACGGGCTGTCTTCTGCTGTGGCTTGCATGTTCCCAAACCCTTAACCACTCTCTCAACCTCTCCCCACAACCTGCCCCCCAGGTGCTGCGAGCTTTGAAAACCGATTCACGACTGGCCAACAACGGGCTGCCTCCCGACATTCAGAAGCTGCGCTGCCGCGTGCACTTTGAGGCTCTCCGCTTTGCTCCACACATACAGGCGTTTGGAGAGGTACAGTGTGGTGCAAGCACATACAGCGTGCAATTAGAGGCGCTGTGCTTTGCTCCACAGATACTGGCGCTTGGAGAGGTACAGTGCAGTTCAGGTGAGGAGTTGGTGCGGTGGGTGAGGAGGTTCCCCGGGTGAGGAGGTGCTGCGGGTGAGGAGGTGCTGCGGGTGAGGAGGGCGGGGTCGTACGTACGAACAACATGCTGGCTGATTTTGACTCGATGCCAATCTCCCAGTCTCACGCCGTCCCTCTCCTCTCCTTGCTGCACACCAGGAGTTGGTGCGGCGGGTGAGGAAGGCCGGGCCGTACGTGGCTCTGCATCTGCGCTACGAGAAGGACATGCTGGCGTTTACCGGGTGCTCGCACGGGCTATCCCAGGCGCAGGCACACGAGCTCACAGCTACAAGGTGTGCTGGGGGAAAGTGGGCGGGTGATAGGTGAGGTGAGAGAGTGCAGTGCGGTATGAGAAGGACATGCTGGCGTTCAGTGGGTGCTCGCATGGGCTGTCCCAGGCGCAAGCAGACGAGCTCACGGCCACTGGGTGAGTGGGGAGTTGTGGAGGGGAGGAAATGGGAAGAGAGGGAGTGCAGTGCGGTATGAGAAGGACATGCTGGCGTTCAGTGGGTGCTCCCACGGGCTCTCTCAGGCGCAAGCGGACGAGCTCACTGCTACGAGGTGAGTGGAGAAAAGAGGAGGAGGAAAGGGTAGGTGAATGATAGGGAGAGATGGAGACGGGAGTGTGTTGTGGTATTTGCGTCACCATTCACCTTATTCACACGCCTCCCATGCCAGGCATGCCGTGCAGCAGTGGGGGGTGACGGTAACTGAAAGAGCATCAATGACATTGCCATTCACGGCGCGTCCACCGTACACCTGCACCAGGCGTCCACCGTACACCTGCACCAGGCGTCCACCGTACACCTGCACCAGGCGTGCTAAAAGCAGTGGCAGGTGAAGGACATCAACGCAGTGGAGCAGAGAGCTCTGGGCATCAACTCATTTCTCCTCACACACTTACCCATCCCACCCTCTTCAAACTAAACCAGGCGGGCCACGAAGCAGTGGCGAGTGAAAGACATCAACGCAGCAGAGCAGAGAGCGCAGGGCAGCTGCCCCATGACGCCCCGTGAGGTGGGGGTGCTGCTCTCAGCGCTGGGCTTCCCCAACCACACGCGACTCTACATCGCTGCGGGAGAGATCTACGGTGGAGAGGACACGATGAAGGATCTACGGGCGAGATTCCCGTTCATTGAGCGCAAGGTGAGACGGGAGGGCTCTTGGCTCATCCCTCTTATGTTGATTCTCCTTGATAGGCTGATTCACTTGGGAGCAAAAGTTAAGGTCACTGGATGATGGCCTCTCGTCCCCCCCACTGCTCCACACCTCCTTTTCCCCTCCCTCGTCCCTCCCCCTCGTTCCACCCCTCTCCACCCCTTTCCCTCCCTCCCCAACCATTTCTCTCCTTCCCCACCCCTCCCATACTTCGGGAGACCCTAGCAACCCCGGAGAAGCTAGCACCGCTAGCAGCACATCAGAGCGCCATGGCAGCAGTGGTGTACCTGGTGTCCGTGCAGGCTGGCATGTTCCTCCCAAGTAAACCCCTTTCGCTCCCTCCCCACCCCATTCCCTCCGCTCCCACCCTTTTGCCCTCGTACTACAGGAAACTCTAGCAACAGCAGAGGAGTTAGCACCGCTGGCAGCGCATCAGAACGCCATGGCGGCAGTGGACTATCTTGTATCGGTGCAGGCTGAGTGAGTGGCTTCGAGCTTTCCCCTTTCCCCTCCCTTCACACCCTTCACTTGCATGCTCCAGGAAACTCTAGCAACAGCAGAGGAGCTGGCACCGCTGGCAGCACACCAGAACGCCATGGCAGCAGTGGACTACCTCGTGTCCGTGCAGGCTGACGTGTTCCTCGCCACCTACTCGGGCAACATGGCCCGCGCTGTTGAAGGGCACAGGCGATTCCTGGGGCACAAGAGGACGATCTCCCCGGACAAGAAGGGGTTGGTTCAACTGATAGATCGGCTGGACAGAGGCGAGCTACAGGAGGGACCTTCGTTTTCTGAGCTCGTGTGCCTGCTGCACATGCACAGGTGTGATGGTGGTGGTGATCATGATGCACATGCACAGCTGGTGATTGTGATGGTGATGGTGATGATGATGATGATGATGATGATGATGATGATGATGATGATGATGATGATGATGATGATGATGATGATGATGATGATGATGATGATGATGATGATGATGATGATGATGATGATGATGATGATGATGATGATGATGATGATGATGAGGAGGAGGAGGAGGAGGAGGAGGAGGAGGAGGAGGAGGAGGAGGAGGAGGAGGAGGAGGAGGAGGAGGAGGAGGAGGAGGAGGAGGAGGAGGAGGAGGAGGAGGAGGAGGAGGAGGAGGAGGAGGAGGAGGAGGAGGAGGAGGAGGAGGAGGAGGAGGAGGAGGAGGAGGAGGAGGAGGAGGAGGAGGAGGAGGAGGAGGAGGAGGAGGAGGAGGAGGAGGAGGAGGAGGAGGAGGAGGAGGAGGAGGAGGAGGAGGAGGAGGAGGAGGAGGAGGAGGAGGAGGAGGATGATGATGATGATGATGATGATGATGATGATGATGATGATGATGATGATGATGATGATGATGATGATGATGATGATGATGATGATGCACATGCCCAGCTGGGATGGTGGTGATGGTGATGTTGGCATGCACAGGTGGGATGGTGATGATGATGATGCACATGCACAGCTGGGATGTCCGGGCGTGAAGAAGCTGCTCCCAGTGTGCCTCACATCACAACCGTTTTGTTTATGCACTCTTGCTGTCGCTTGCAGGCAGGGGGCGCCGCGGCACAGGAAGGGCCCGCTTCCAGGCGTGAAGAAGAAGGATCGGCATCGGTCAGAAGAAGCCTTTTATGCCAACCCTCTCCCGGACTGCCTCTGCCAAGCCAAGCCTGAAAGGCTTGGTGGTAGAGCCATACTGTTCCGAGAGAGGGGGAACAGGGGTCAGTAAAATTGAAGGGATTGCCTCGAGCATGCCCAGTACCTTTAAAACACGTGTTTCTATTTACTCGTCTTGTGCTGCTGTGGTATGGTGTTATGGTATGGAGAACTCTGTATTATACGGCATAGCAACTCCTTCCACCTTTTCTAACCATGGTTAGTAGTGTGAAACGTAACGCGCGACATTGAGGAACGGTTGGATCCAGGGGTTTTTTTTATCAGAGTAAATTACTCTGTTTCTCTGAAAATCAGAGTGGTTTTTAGGGGGTCACTCTGACGTGTCTGGGTATTTTTTTTGGAGGATAAGTTTTCTCTGATTTGTCAGGGTTCTGATTTTAGCTTCTCTGAGAGACCAGTGTATATTTGTGGAGGATGTACTTTTCTCTGTTCAGGGTATAGGCATTTCGACCGACCCCCCTGCCCCCCCCTTCCCCCCCAATTGTTGGAAGATGGGCAAACTAAGTAGAGATATAAAAACAGCAATCGGAAAGATTACTGAGCGCGTAGCACAACGTCTAATCTTTCAGTAGGAGTGTAGAAGGCTTGGGTTCAATACTTGAGAGGACACTCAGAATTGGAAAAATAGGTACACTGGATGCCCAGGGTAGATTTTTCAGAAGTTAAGTTTTCTCTGACAAATCAGAGTAACACTCATAATGAACCCTGAATTTCAGAGTTCTCTAGAAAACAGCTCTGGAAATCCGAGTAGTGAAAATCAAAAAAAAAACCCTGGTTGGATCACTCCATACGGTGGGTTTAACTCAATGGGATCGAGTGCAGTCATGGAACTGCTGTCAGAAAGGAACTATGAAACTGCACAGAGTATGGCTAGGCATGCATTAAATTGTGTTTGAATCCAGACGCGTGGGTGTGCAACTGAAATGAGCAACACTGGTGGAATGAAGGAATTGTACAAGCACTACAACAAAGACGAGATGCGCCTGGGTGGGGGGAAGGGGGAAGATGATCGATGTGTGCAGTTGAATAAGAAAGGTATACATCCAAGGTTAATCTGGACATGCACAGGGGATAATCAAGAGCATTGAAAAGAATGTACAAGCTGGATGTACTGTTCATAATCATGAGTTCCTATGTATGCCATAACCTGTGCAGCTTACATGTGGTGTATACCCGTTTTAGGCTTGTCGGGGTTTGAAGGTTCGTGATTGTCATCAATTGATCAGTCACGTGGACGAAAGCCTCCCCTCCCCTCCTCACCTCACTCAATTGTCGAAATATCTATGCCAACAGGCATTGGCGTGATTCTCCTTTCCGGTTCCATGATGTGGCAGCACAAGTGGTGACGTGCTTCCTATCCCGAACTGCGGAACTTTCCGTTCCAAGCATTGCTTTAGCTGGAAAATGACCCCGTGATGACGTGTATCCGTGACATCTTTGCCCGCATAAAGACATATCATTCGCTAAACAGTACAATTCGTTCCAGCTTGGCGAGCGATTCGATTCGGGCCAATCCCAGATGGAAGGGGTGCCTGCCTGACTGTCAGCAGAAACACGCTCCCTCCACACAATGAGCGAAGCGCGTCTGTGATTCACCGGTCCCCCGCTGCCCGCGGGAAGCAACGGTCGGTGTTAGGACAATGATGCACCCTTGAGAGCACCAGATACTTTCGCAAGGTTTCGCTTATTCTGGACAGCTTCAACAACTCAGTTTCGCACAAAGCACATTGATTGGTTGGCGACGACTGAAGGCTGAAGGTAGTTCATGACAAACGCGGTTCAGCTCAGAAATATCCAACTCACCAAAGCATCTCCTTCCCCGCTTTTGGGAAGCTCACCCTCGCGTGCACCATGGTGTAGAGATGGAACTGTAATTGCAGATGACAGATCGGTGCCAATGGGTCTAGGGTAGGTGCCTGCCTGGGAAACCTTGAGATTGCCGCAGCAAACCCAGTGGGAGAAAAGCGGCAAGGCAGGCTTGAAACTATGTGCCATGGCAAGCTTCTTTTTAGTGTTTTCGCTGATCAAGTCGGGAATGACTAAATCCTCAATACCTATCGAACAACCCGAGCGAGTAGCTAAGTCAAAACGGCACATCCTTGGCTCAGGGATTGGCCTTCGTGTTCTCGTCACACATAAGTATCTCCTGGGTCGCTGGTTTATTCCGTAATACAGTATAACCTCTTGATTTCGTACCTTGTTGTGTATGTCACAGCTTTTACTAGCCTCTGTCTTCTCCCACGTTTTCTTCAGATATCGGTCGTACAGACGCAATGTTAGTTTTAACGAGAGAGTCACAGGAAACGACTCTAAACGAACCCAATTATTCATAGAAACATATGCCATTCGCTTCACCTCAGTGTGGCTTCGCTTGTTACGAACGACTCTCTTCAGTCCTTCCGTTGCTCACTGAAGTCACATGTCCAAGTGGCTCTCCCATCAACCGGCACAATCACAGCTGTTCTCTTCAACCTCGACGTGTGTGCGGATGCGCGACACGTGGCAAGACATGGCTCCAGGGTGCCCGGACGACACGTGGCGCGATTACAGCGTTCCGTTTGGAGACAATTCTACGTGCTCACAAGGATGGACGGACCTCCTTAGCATGCCTTGTCAGCCAAAAACCGTTCCACGTCAGCAAATTGACCCGCCTCGCCATTTCCCTACGTCGACATGTCAATCAAACAGTCTCATTCTCCCTCGTCCTCCGTCGTTCACGCAGCCGAAGCAGTGGCCAGTTTTTCCCGCGCTTTTGCCAACCCGGGTCGATAATTCCTCCGACTTCTTATGCTCGCTCGCCGCAAACGACGCTGTAGTCGCCACTCGTCGGCAGCTATCTAAGACCCCGCCACTGCCGCCGTCGCTGCCGCCGTCGCTGCCGCCGCCGCTGCCGCTGCTGTCAACACTTCCCCTCAGTTCACCCGGGGAGTCTCACCATCCGCAGCTTAATCCGCGAAATCCGCCGCGCAATCCGCTCAGTTCGCTTCCGCACGCTCCCGCTTCTCCCCGCGGTCCCCGCCTCAGCAGCAGCGGTGGCAGTAGCAGCAGCAATGGCAGCGGCGGGGATAGTTTCGCAAGCGACGGCGGAGAAGGCGGCGGATTGCGCAGCAGGCAGGGGGACGACGTGGAAGAAAAGGAGGAGGATAGTAGCGCGCACCGGCGCGCAGCGCTAGACTTCGTGCTGGAGCTCGCCGGGCCGCAGATGGCGTCGCCGTCTGACGACCGTCGATTCCGATGGTGCCCTGATTCGCTGATCCCAGCCGACGAACTGCCTGTCGCCGCCTTCGCCGTGGATAGGTGAGTGTAGGCGCGATTGCAGTAGGTACGAACAGGTTAGTAGGTCAGGCAACAAGCGATTGCATGTGAAGAGCCCCTCAGAAACCATTATTCCACTCTTTTGTCTGTTTCTTGATTTCAACAGGCGTATTTGCTCCCAACTTACCCTGGGCCTCCTTGTGTCCCTCTCCCACCTCCCATCTCGCCCCTCCGCCGCCATCCCCGGCAGGGACCTGACATTTGTGATGTGGAACCGACGAATGGCGAAGCTGACAGGCTGGAGCCGGGATGACGTGGCGCAGATGGGGAGGTTCCCGGGAAGGCTGCTGCGACCCGCGAAGGGGTCTGTGCACGAGTGAGTGGGGAGAGGAACTGGAGACGGTAGAAGAGGGAATTGGGGGAGGGGGAGAGAAGGGTGGGAGTGAAAGCAGGGAATATGTTGGTCAAATTGCTGGGCCGAGCCAAGTCAGCAGAGCCGTAATTCTTTCCCATCATCTACTATTCTCCCTCGCTCCCCGCTCCCTCCCCATATCTCCGCCCCAACTTGCCTCGTAATGGACGCTCCCCTCTTTCGAGCAGTCCTTCATCAATATGTCTCCCTCTCCCTTTCTCCCTCGTCCTCTCTCCCATTCGCCTCCATTCCCAAGGCACGCGAGCGACGTGCTGCGTGACGCAATGCTGCGACCAGAGCCCATCAGCCAGACCATGCTGCTCGCCACGCGCTCTCAACGCGATACAGAATGCGACGCAGCATGCGACACAGAACGCGAAACAGAATGCGATGCACGGCAGCAGGTGCTTCCGAGGCAAGAGCAGGCGCTGCTGAGGAAGGTGTTACCTGGCGAGGCGGCAACTGGACAGAGATTGCCCGAGCAATCGTCGCCTGGGCGGGAGGTGTGTGTGCAGGTGCACGCGTGCATGCGCACAGACGCCGTGGGGGCAGCCAACGGTGTGCTGTGCGTCGTCATGCCACTCCACACACCCCCTCCCATGCCCACGCCCTCGCCCATGCCACTTCCTGTCACCGCACGTGCTGCTGTCACTCCACCTCGACCATCTGCTGCTGCTGCTGCTGCAGCCGGCGCTGCTACTACAGCAGTCGCGACGGTGGCTGCTGCCCCCGTCGTTGCCGCTGCTGCTGGCTCGGCTCACGCTGGTGGGGAGCAGAGAGTTGCTTCGTGTGCAGCGATACAGCAGACGGACGGAGAGGGAGGAGCAGGAGTAAGAGAGCTGGAGGCAGGAGGTGGGGGAGGGGACAACTGGGGACGGGGGTTTAGCAGCCAGGCCGGGGAGAATGCACGAGAGGGTCACAGCAGTATATTCAGTCGCTGCAGTGGCAGCAGCAGTGGGGGGCTGGATAAGGGAGGTGCGGTTGGAAGGGAGGAGAGGGTGGGTGAGAAGAGGCGTGGCAGCAGACGCAGCAGCAAAGAGGAAAGGGACTTGCCTTGTCACTCCCCTGTCTCTCCTCGTTGCAACTCCCCTGTTTGTCTCTCCCCTTTCAGTCACTCCCGACCGTGCGATCTGATCACCTCGCCCGGATCCGACGGTGGTTATGGAGTCAAGAGGGTTGAGCGAGAATGGGCAATGCAGGAAGAAGCGGGGAGAGAGGGGAACAGGGAGAGACCAAGTGTGAGAGTGAGAGTAAGCGTATGTGAAATGGACAGAAGAGATGGAATGGCATCACCAGCGTCATCTCCACCACCAGCATCACCAGCACCAGCATCACCAGCAGCATCGCCAGAATCATCAGAATCGCCAGGCGACATTCCCGAGGGGGTGAGGGGACCCCCGGAGCTGCACACGCCCAGGGAGATTCTCCCCTCTAGGGAGGTACTGGAGAGCAGCGGCGTGGGAGCGACACGCAGATTCCTCCCTTCCAATGCCTCGCACACCATCTCTTCCCATGCCGTCTCGTCTCACACGGTCTCACGCAACTCGAGTGCCTCCTCGTCTCAACCCTCACAAGCCCCCGTGTCACAAGCCCCCGTGCTAGAGAAGGTGAAAACACCCATGTCATCCTTGCCCATTCCACCTGCCCCGGTCCACCTTGTACCTGCAGCTGTAGACCCTAGGAGCGTCAGATGTACTCCTGCGCATCCTCTTTCCATTCCACCCGTACCTTGTGAGATGAAACCCCTGGCTCTGGACATGAAACGCTCGCCCAGGTTGCACTTTGACGAGAGTGAGTATGAGTTGAAACGCCAGGTTTGTGAGCTGGAGGCAGAACGGTTTCATCTGCTGTGTACTTCGCACTCCTCCAATCCCCAGTCACCGTCCTCGAGCATTCTCTGTGTTCCGAATGTAACGGAAATGCGGTCTAAGATTGGAGTGAGCACGACTAGTGCTGCTCCTGCCACTCCTGGCTCTTCTGCTGTCGCTGTTGCTTCTGCTGCTCCTGCTGCTGCTGTTCCTATGGGTGCAGCTCCGGCTGATCCTCCTGCTGCTGTTACTACTCCTGTTGCTCCTACCCCCGCTCCTGCTGGTGCATCTCCTGCTGCTCCTTCTCCTGCCAATGCCCCTGCTGCAGCAGAAGCACCGATCCAGCCTGCAGCAGCGAGTCAGCCCGGGGCAGTGGGGCACGGTGCAGGCGGGAGGCAGCGTGAGGGTCTGCCAGCCATTCGCGTGCAGCGGCGGCGAGCAGCTGATGTGCTGCGCCCTGCCGGTGCTACCGCTGAGAGATGCAGCAGCAACGGGGGCGAGAGGACGTTTGGAGGGGAGGGAAGCGCGCAACGAGAGCAGGGGAAAGGGAAGGGGACGGGTAATTTCCTCCTTGACAGAAGCAACCCCTTGTTGACGCCTGTGCAGCTGCTGTCGCCTCTGGCCCACTCCCCATACCCTCTCCTCTCTCCCCGGTGGGAACCTGACGCCCTTCTACTGCAGTCCTCTGCTGCCCTGTCACCGACAGCCAATGTTTGCCCGGCTTTAACTGCTGGTGGGGATGATGATGGTGATGCTGCTGCTGCTGCTGCTGCTGGTGCTGGGAATGGTGATGGTGCTGCGTCAGAGATTGCAGAAGGGTTGGAAAGGGCCGAGGCAGCATCAGAAGGAGCAGGAGCAGCAGCAGCAACAGCAGCAGCAGGTGTAACAGCAGCAGTATGCAATACCGGTAGTGCTAGAAACATGCTGGTGGATGGGAAGCGAGAGAGAGCCAGCTGTATGCTTGCAACCGACAGACTAGCAACTGGCACGACTGCCTTCTTATCTGCTGACATGCCCTCATCAGCCGCCTTCCCCCCATCAGCTCCAATACCCTCCTCCCATGCCCCGTCTTCCCAGACCACCTCGTTGCCACTGTCTACCTCTCTCTGTGTTCGTGCGCTGGTGGCTGACGGGGCAACAGGTGGCGGCGCGGGATTGGGGCTGGTGGGCGCGCTGCACAACGACCTGCCGCAGCAGCTGGAGCGGTGTGGCTTCGATGTTGTCACGGCGGGTACAGTCACAGAAGCTGTGCGACGATTTCAACAGTCTGTGTGCGACCTGCCACCTGATGAGACAGTGCAACAACGCGACGGGTTTGAAGAGAGCAATGGGAGTGGGGGAAGCAAGCAACAGCTAAAGGAAGCTTCCGCAGACGAGTCACCACTTGACCAGCGGCCAGCATCAGGAGAAGGAGTTCAAGAGGGTGTGGCATCAAGTGACAAGAGTATGGCAGTGGTTGCACAGGAGGCAGGAGTGAAGCCAGAGGCGCCCTTCTCTCTTGTGGTCATGGAGCTGGAGGTGAGCCACGCTGCATGGTTGTCCACATGTGGGTGCCTTGCGTATTTACAGTGGCGTTTCACTTCTGTTTTGTGAAGTTTTTTAGGTGCCTCAGAAACAGACATCTCACATGCTTCGTGGTTTTTGGAGGATTGGAATTCTAAATTCGTGTTTTATGCTGTGCTGGTGAGCAGGCCATGGCACATGATGGCTTCGCATGCATCCGCAGCATTCGCGATGCCGAGGGGAGACGGCACGCAGGGAAGGTCAGGAATGGGGAAGACTGTGCTGATGCTGATGCTGATGCTGATGGTAACCAGTTTCCAGGGGTTGGTGCTGCTGAGCCTGATGCTGGTGGTTGTTTGAGTGGCGCTGAGGCAAACACAGAACGATCAGCAGCAGCAGCAGTAGCAATCAGCAGCCCAGTAGAAGCAGCAGCATTAGCAGGAGCAGCTGGAGTGGTTGCTTCTGATTCACTACAGGAAAGTTCAGGGGGTGCGTATCCTGTTTCACGCACGGTCGTTATAGCGGTGGCGAATATGAACAGGTGGGACTTGGCAGGGCTGGACCAAGCCATGCAGCAGTGCATGCATGCGGGCGTGGATGCTGTGGTTCCCCGCACAATGAACCGCCAGCAGTTGAAGTCGGTGCTCAGAAAGCTGGGCGTCAGGGGCAAGTACGTGTTGGTGCCGAATTCCCTGCCCCGTGCCATGTCTGGCGCTGTGCATAATCCCCTCAATTTGTCTAGGTAGCGTAATGTGCAAAACATGTATGTGCACATTAGTAACTCTGTAAGGTTGAATGTAATAATGTTATCATGAACTCTGTAACAGCAGGTGAAAAGGCAGGTCTCTAATCCAGTTTGCTTGTTGGCAGTTCGTTCCGTCAACACCTTGACGGTCGTCGCTGCGCGCCACACATGTCCTCTGGCGAGGCGACGCATCTGTTCCACCTTTCACGACAGGCGTGAAACTGGAACTGTGGGCTGTCTGTCCGGGTTTGTCCTTGTAAAAGCAATGTGCTTCTTCTGCTAATATCGAATATATTCTATGTTGATTACAGTGGTACGTGTGGGTGGGAGTGAATTGCCTATGGCTGTCATAAATTCACCATCAAGTTTCCAAAACAGCAAGACAGCCGTTCCTTGTTGTTGCCTAAGCCTGCTAGTCCTAAGGCCCAGACATATCAGTGCACGGTTCGTTTGACGCGGTTTATTACGGTCACACCACGTTTGAGAGCGGTTTTCAAATTCCACCGCTTTAGACCATTGCGCACCAAAAATGAACCACGAACGGATATGACTCGACCTAAACAGCAGCATAGCCCGGCCAGAGCAGGGTAGAATTCGCGTTTCCTGTGCTGTCAAGCCAACTGCCAGGCATCGCGCTTCAGTTTTCGAAGACCTGCTGTCACGCAACGAATGGCCGACCTGGTATAAAACCTACTGAGAGACTATCTCATCTCCTCGGTTTCGTTTTTCAATGCAGTTCTGTTTCAGTCCGTTTTGTTGAACTCGTCAGATAGGCTCGACGACGCGCCAGCGAGTCCGCATTTCACGTATCGTTACTCTCGTTTGAAGTTTGCGAGTCAGATAGTCTGCGTTCTTCGACGGCTGCACTCAACCGATTCAAACCATTATGACGTATAAAGCGACCCAACATACTTAGGTTAGAAAATGATAGTCTCCGTATTCTCATTACCACGCACTAGAATGCCTCAATAGCTTGTGTTACATGGGTAACCAGGTCAGTGTGATCGACACGTTAGTAAACGCGGAGTTTCCACCAATCAACGATACTGGTTCTAATAGCCTAGTAAGGAAACCAGCAGTATCGGGGATTACCAACTCCAAAAGCAGCAGCAGCGTCAGCACCCTATCCGCTACCAGCACTAGCAGCAGCAGCAATGGCGGTGGTAGCAGCAACGCTACGAGCAGCAGCACGGGCACCAGCAATGGCGGTGACATTGGTGGCGTATGCAGCTGCAGCGTTACCAGCACCGCCGAAAGCGGCGGCGGTAGTGGTGGCACTGGCGGAGGCGGAGTGAGGAGCATCGCGTGCAGCGATCTCAGCCGTCCGATGGGCATCTTGGCGTTCGAGGTGGCGGGGCTGATGCACCGGGTCCTGGATCTCTGGAGCCAATTGGAGCCCGGACACGTGGCAGAGCTGAGGCAGCAGCTTCAGGTGCGCAGTGGCGGATGAAGCTCGAGGCTGCTTTTCACAACACATGGAAAGCCACGGACAATTTCTGTTACTGAGGAGCGTTCAAACAGGACAACAAGCTGAAACTGAGAGGAATGCTTTTCAACAACAAGCTACTTTTGCGGAACCGGTTACATCTAAGTAAACTTATCCGTGCGTGTGTGTGCGCGTGTGCTGTGTCCACCTGTGCGCGTGTGCTGTGTCCCGTGTTGTGCATGCATGGTGGGGGCAGAGTGAGAACCTGGAGAGACTGGGAGTGGGTGACTTCACCTTCCGGTGGCGCATGGCAGGTGAGACAAGTCAAGAAGGGGTTGGGAGCTTTGCTTATGGTTAAGTAGGGGTTTGGTCAGCAGCCAAAACGGGGTGGCATTTTTCTAGCAGTCAGAAATGGGTTGGGATTGCCAAACGGTTTTGTTGGGTTAGAAGCTGACCTGCAACTTTTAAGAGCCATTCGAAGTAACTAACTCCTTCCTCTCTACGATTCTCCCCACTCTCGTTCGAGCCATCCCCACCCACCCCACCCATTTCCACCGATTTCCACCTCCCAGGCCTAGAGTATTCCAACGAGCTGCTACTGCTGACAGCTGGGGTGGCGGCATTGGCTCGGCAAAGTGGGGGGGCGGTGGGGGGGCAGGTGCAGCAGGTGCTGAGAGCGCATGCGAGGAGGAAGGAGAAGAGGGAGAAGGCCGTGGGGAAGGCAGAGGCGGATGAAGTTATGAGGTGAGGAGGGGGGAGAAGGAGGGGGAGGGGAGGAAAGGGGAGCAGGGGGGTGTAAAATGGCAGAAGGCGGGGTAAAGGAGAAAGTGAGTGTTGGGGGGGAGAGTAAGTCTGATGGGGGGCCCAGGCAGCAGCTGCAGCACGTGCTGAGGGCACATGCAAGGAGGAGGGAGGAGATAGAGAAGGCCGTGGGGAAGGCAGAGGGGATGTAGTGATGAGGCGATGGCGAAAGGGTGGGGAGGAGTGGGGGGTTGCAGAGGGAAGCTTAAAGGCAGAACCACAGGGTACAAGGGCGAACTTGTTAACTTGCATTTGTTTGCGTGCATGTGTGTGTAGGCATTTGTGTGTGTGCACTTGTGTGTGTGCATGTGTGTGTGTACATGCATGTTTGTGTGTGCATCTGTACCCGATACTGTACATGTGCATGTGCATGTGAATGTGCATATTCAGGTTCCTGCGAGACCATCTGGGGCCAACGGGCATTCTGAAGCGCGAGATGGAGGCACTGGATGAAGCCATTGCCAGGTGAGTTTGAAGGTATGGCAAGGTGAGGTGAAGGGATTGAGAGGGGTTATGGAAGGTCGAGTCCTCTCAGAGGGCCCACATGCATACTGAAGCGAGAATGGAAGCTCTGGATGAGGCCATTGCCAGGTGGGTGGGGATCGGCATAGCGAGTAAGGGTGCCTTTCTTTTTGTGGGTCCAGCTGCTTGCTTGCTTGCTTGCCTGCTTGCTTGCACATGTGAGTTACCCTGCGGCTGGTAACCAAAACTACAGTGGTCTTCCTTCCTCCTTCCATCACCCGCTACCTGCCCTTCGTTCGCGCCATCATGCTGCACCACTCCACACCCCCTGAAACCCCTTTTTTTCCTCGTGCTAACCTGCCAAAAGCTCCCTTATCAACAAACCCCTCGCTCCCCACTCACCCCCTCACACCTCTGCACACCCCCCCCACTGAGCTCATCCGCTGCTTACCCCTTCGTGCCCTAACTTCCTCCCCACCCCCCCACTTCCCCCTTTCCCCCCCCTTTCCCTCACCTTTCCCCTCTTTCCCCACTTTCCCCCTACCCTTTTTTCCCCCCTTTTCCCCCCTCTCCCATCAGCACGTCATCTTACAGCGATGCATACTCGTTTGAGGACAATCAACCCACACATACTTATTCTGATGACTGCTGTCCTTGTCTTGTCTTGTCCCCCTCAACCCCCTCTCCGTTTCCTTGCCTCCCCATCAGCACGTCATCTGAGGGCGATGCATACTCGTTTGAGGATACGCGGCCCACACAGTCGTACCCCGAGGAATACTTTGTCACCCAGGCAAGATTGGGTGGCATTGAATGGCATTGAATGGCACTGGTGGCATTGGATGGCATCGGATGGCATTGAATGTCATTGAATGGCACTGGATGGCATCGGATGGCATTGAATGTCATTGAATGGCACTGGATGGCATCGGATGGCATTGAATGTCATTGAATGGCACTGGATGGCATCGGATGGCATTGAATGTCATTGAATGGCACTGGATGGCATCGGATGGCATTGAATGTCATTGAATGCACTGGATGGCATCGGATGGCCTTGAATGTCATTGAATGGCACTGGATGGCATCGGATGGCATTGAATGTCATTGAATGGCACTGGATGGCATCGGATGGCCTTGAATGTCATTGAATGGCACTGGATGGCATTGGGCGGTGGATGGCATTGGGTGCATTAGATTAGATGGCCTTGCGTGGCGTTGGGTGGCATTGGATGGCATTGATTGGCATTGATTGGTGCACAACAGCACACATCATGCTATGCATCCAATATTGCCGCCCACCCACCCATGCGCAACCATGCCCACCCATGTCCACGCATGCGCAATCATGTGCACCCATGCGCAATCATGTGCACCCATGCGCAATCATGTGCACCCATGCGCAATCATGTGCACCCATGCGCAATCATGTGCACCCATGCGCAATCATGTGCACCCATGCGCAATCATGCGCACCCATTCGCACCCATGTGCAACCATGCAGGGGCAGAAGGTGCAGCAGCTGCAGAGGAGCTCCCTATGGTCGCACAGCCTTGAGAGAATGGCCAAGGTGGGTTCTTCGGCTCCTTCTGCTTCTTCTCTTCTGCTCCCTCCCTCTTTTTCCTCTGCTTCCTCTGCTTCTGCTGCTCCCGCTGCTCCCTCCCACTGCTCTCTCTGTCTGGGATGTTCCTAATCCATCCCTTCCTGGGTGCTTCTTCAGCTGCCGCTTCATTTTGGATTGGAATGCTTGCTTCAAAGCACCGAAATCTCCTTTTGAAGCAACAATGATCTCGTGACCGCTTCATTGTATTACGCTTGCTTAGTTGCTTGTATGTACATAGTTGCTTGCTTCACCGCTTTGTTGGAATGTCTTCTATTTTCATCACTTCATCCAACCTTCTTCCCTGTCTGACCCGATTCCGCTCGTCTTTCAACTATCAACAGACCCTGGCTGTGGCGGTCGGCATTCTTTGGCAGCATCTGAGGGAGGTGTATGGGTGGCCGGACCCCATAGGGCCAGACGACCTGGAGGGCACAGTGGGGCAGGCGGGGCTGCCCATGCTGTACGCGCGTGTGCTAGCTGCTGTCAGTCAGTTGGCTGTTACCATGCCTGGGACCCCTGCTTTCACAGACAAGAGGTGAGCGGGTAGCATGGGTTTTCGGCTCTCCCCTACTATCCCCTCCGGCGGTGACCTGGTGGGCGCAATGGGGCAGGCAGGGCTGCCCATGCTGTACGCGCGCGCATGTGCTGAGCCAAAGCAAACGAGCATCTCACCCTTCTGCCCTCCCCCGTTTCCTTTCCCCCCCACAGGAAAGAACTCTACGCCATGCTCCCCACGTTCATTCGCCACCAACTGCACTCAATCGCCTTCGCGTCTGCCTGCCATCCCTCCCAACTGCCCGAAACCCCCTGCTCTCCCCACCTTACCCCCCGAAACCCCCTGCTCTCCCCACCTTACCCCCCGAAACCCCCTGCTCTCCCCACCCTATCCCTCCCAGGAAGGACCTCTATCTCATGCTCCCCACATTCATTCGCCACCAGCTGCACTCCCGCCTGCGTGTGTCCCGGCGGCGCCCCCTGGACGAGGTGCTGCTGGGGGAGCTGCGCCAGCTGGCAGCGCAGATGTTCTGCTGGCTCATGCCCTTCAGCCAGGCCACGCTGCAGTGGGTCAATGACCGTTCCCACAGTGCAAGAGTGGCGGGGCGGCAGAGAGTGCTTCTGGTGCAGGTGGGTGTGAGGGTGGGGGAAAGTGGGGGGGGATGGGAGCGCACAGTAGGGCAGCTGGCAGCGCAGATAGTCTGCTGGCTCATGCGCATCTCCTAGGCCACCCTGCAGTGGGTCAATGATCGCTCTCACGGCGACTATTGAGTCGACTCAAAAGTGGGTCAATGATCGCTCGCACAGCGACTATTGAGTCGACTCAAAAGTGGGTCAATGATCGCTCGCACAGCGACTATTGAGTCGACTCAAAAGTGGGTCAATGATCGCTCTCACCGCGACTATTGAGTCGACTCAAAAGTGGGTCAATGATCGCTCGCACAGCGACTATTGAGTCGACTCAAAAGTGGGTCAATGATCGCTCTCACAGCGACTATTGAGTCGACTCAAAAGTGGGTCAATGATCGCTCGCACAGCGACTATTGAGTCGACTCAAAAGTGGGTCAATGATCGCTCTCACCGCGACTATTGAGTCGACTCAAAAGTGGGTCAATGATCGCTCGCACAGCGACTATTGAGTCGACTCAAAAGTGGGTCAATGATCGCTCGCACAGCGACTATTGAGTCGACTCAAAAGTGGGTCAATGATCGCTCGCACAGCGACTATTGAGTCGACTCAAAAGTGGGTCAATGATCGCTCGCACAGCGACTATTGAGTCGACTCAAAAGTGGGTCAATGATCGCTCGCACAGCGACTATTGAGTCGACTCAAAAGTGGGTCAATGATCGCTCGCACAGCGACTATTGAGTCGACTCAAAAGTGGGTCAATGATCGCTCGCACAGCGACTATTGAGTCGACTCAAAAGTGGGTCAATGATCGCTCGCACAGCGACTATTGAGTCGACTCAAAAGTGGGTCAATGATCGCTCGCACAGCGACTATTGAGTCGACTCAAAAGTGGGTCAATGATCGCTCGCACAGCGACTATTGAGTCGACTCAAAAGTGGGTCAATGATCGCTCGCACAGCGACTATTGAGTCGACTCAAAAGTGGGTCAATGATCGCTCGCACAGCGACTATTGAGTCGACTCAAAAGTGGGTCAATGATCGCTCGCACAGCGACTATTGAGTCGACTCAAAAGTGGGTCAATGATCGCTCGCACAGCGACTATTGAGTCGACTCAAAAGTGGGTCAATGATCGCTCGCACAGCGACTATTGAGTCGACTCAAAAGTGGGTCAATGATCGCTCTCACAGCGACTATTGAGTCGACTCAAAAGTGGGTCAACGATCGCTCTCACAGCGCCAGGGTGGCGGGGCAACAGCGCGGGCTGCTCGTGCAGGTGGGTGTGGGTGTGGGCGTGGGAGGGGCATGGGATGGGCGTGGGAGGGGTCTGGAGAACCACAGTGAGGCAGCTGGTAGCGCAGATGTTCTGCTGGCTCATGCCCTTCTCTCGTTCCTCCTCTCTTCTCATCTCTGTTTCTTCCCCTCCACTCCAACCCCTTACCCTGCTACTGCAGACCCTCCATTTCTCCAGCAAGGATCGTTTTGGAGGCCATTCTTATCGAGCTCCTCTCCTCTCCGCTCCTCCCCTTCCTCTTCTCCTTTCTCCTCTCCTCTCATCTCTCTCTCTCTTCCCCCACGCTGCCCCTCTCCATCCACTACAGACCCTCCATTTCGCCAACAAGGATCGGTTCGAGGCCATTCTAATCGAGCTCCTCTCCTCGCTCTCTCTCGTCATCGCAGCATCCACACCCCCTCCTCCTCCCCCTCCCATCCGTGCCCGCCCCTCCAAGCCTCCCTCCCTCGGCCGAGCCTCCAGCACCTCGCAGGCCCCTTCCCGAGCCAAGGCATTTGGTTTGGGATCGACAGCTTCGTACTCCAGCCGTCGCCGTAGCTCCCCTGCTCCCGTATTGTCCGGCTCTCCCCTCGATAACTTCGACCCGGAAGCAGCACTGGCAGAGGGAGCAGCAGAAGCGGCAGCAGCAGCAGCAGCAGGAGAAGGAGGACGGTCCACGCCCTCTCGCATCGCAATGCCTCGTGCTGCCTCCGCTGCTGAAGTGCTTGACGCTCCCACTTCCTCCATCTCCCCTCCTCCCTCCGCTGCTGCCCTTGCTGCTGCCCTTGCTGCTGCATCATCTGGCTCCTCTCACGTGACTGCAGCAGCAGCAGCAGCCAGCACATCAGCAGGGCAGCAGAAGCAGCATATGACTGCTTCTCTTGCTGCTGCTGCCGCTGCTACTCCCGCTGCTCCCTCTGCTGCCGCCGCTGCTGCAGGCACTGCAGCCGACGACCACGCGGCCTTCCTGTCAGCTCTCCCGCGTCGCAGGCAAACCCACGCCGACATTGCAGCAGCTGCCATTGCAGCCGTCGACGCTGCAGCTGCTGGGTCAGCCGGTACCTCCCCCACTCCGCCCAAGCCCACAGCAGCAGGCAAGCCCCCGGCGCGCAGGCGGGGGCGGCACTCGCGCTCTCTCTCCATGTCCGATATCATGCCCGCTCCCTCCTCCCTTGCATGGCTCGTTGATGACTCTGCTGCTGCTGGCAACGGTGCAGCAGCAGGTGGAGGGGCAGGAGGAGGGGGGATGGGAGGAGGGGCGGATAGTCTGCCCAAGTTTCTGGAGGAGTTGGCGCAGCATGGGTTTGTGGTGTCGGCGTTTGACCGCAGCGAAGGCCGTGTGCTGCACCAAGCGGCACCGCTCTCCACCGCTCTCACCGCTCTCACACACCCCTCCTCTACCTCCTCCTCCTCGCTCTTCCACAACCCTCCCGGCCGTCTGTTCTCTACAGACGGGCCGGGTAGTGGTGGTAGTGGAGAAGAGGGGAAAAGGGGAGGGAAGGAGGGTGGGAATGACAAGGATATGTCGCCTCTTGACCGGCTGTTGGCTCGCATGCCCCCTCCCCGGCGGTTACAAAGATCCACCACCCCGCCTGGTAACCGCATCGAGAGAGCTATGTCACCAAAGCCGGACAGACAGCGGGAGAGGGGGGGTGATGTGACTGTAAAGAGGGGGAGTGCAGCGAATGGGACTGGTGGGGTTGGTGACGGGGGGAGTGTGACTGTCGGGAGTGGCAGCAGCAGGTTCAGCAGCAGCAGCAGTGTTGCTATGGAGGGTGCAGAAGGGGGTTGTGACAGGAGAGGTAGTGGGTGTGGCAGTGGGAATGGGATAGTGACTGAAGATAAGAACGACTTAAACGGACGAAATGGGGGAGAGTCAACCCAATCTTGTGAGGCAACTCACAACAAGTCCCAAGAGGGTGCTGCTGTTAATGCAGCACCAAAAAAAGACAAGTTTGGCAATCCACTGCCACCACAAGATGCCTTGGCTGTTGGCTGAGGGTGCTGTGATTAGCCGTTAGCTCCGAAATCTATACTGGTGTGGGTATGGTGTGGCGTTGTACAGTTGCATGATCGTGTCTGATACCATAAGTAATTTGTCGATGTTAACTGTCTTGGACTTTTCCTTAGTCATGGCTAATCTCTAATTAGTGAACATGGTTTTTGTAGCCTGGGCAATGCTGAGGTAGTGTACTTCGGTAAACTATCTCAGCATCCCATGAGTACCAGGTGGCTGCCAACTTGACAACCCACCATATACCCAAATACCATAATCTTTATTGCATAACGATAACACTCAGTGCAAAACACCATCTGGTAACCAAGTACCGTACTAGGTCATTGGCTAGGAGGGGACAAGAAATACCGTATACTCCCGGACAAAACACCCCCCCATAATTGTACACCCCCGGGTAGCTTGTGCGGGGTGGGTGTTATGATAGACCTCGTTTCTACTTTACCCCCCTTTTTGGCTGATTTTCTATAACACCCCCCTTTTCTTACGGATTCATTACTATAGTCGTTAACGAGTAGCTGCAATACGGAAGAATATCGTCTGAATTTCTCCCTCAATGAAATTTCGCGGTACATTCAAAGGCAATCTGCCGAGATTTGCCCCCTCCCACTATTTCTCTGTTGCCACGTGCAGGTGAATCTTCCGTTGCAAGTGACAAAAATGTCAGGTGAATTTTCGTGAGGGCGATGAAGTTCGAGGCCGAAACTGACATTCGCACCTCAGGAAGTGATGCTAAAACGACCAGCAAAACACCCACATTGACTAATTAAAACAACACTAACACTAAAATATGCCATATGTAAAGACCCGGGTATTATGTATTTTTTTCCTATGAGGAGACCCCCCCCATTTTTTCCCTGTATTTTTAGCTATACCATAGGGTGTTATGTCCGGGAGAATACGGTAGAAGAATTATTAAATTGAGAAAGCTTGCTTTCTTATTCTTATCAATTGGCATCGTTCTCATTACAAATGGCATCGTTCTCATCACAAATGGCTTATTACAACATTTGCATCAACGTTGAACACAAGCTAGTGCAATCGAATAACACTAGCTAAGATGTACCCTATCCAAGTGGCATTAGCAAGGCGGTTTACTCTGGGGTGGGTGGTGGGAATGTTGAGTGAGCCGTTTGAAAATCGAGAAACGTGGGTGGAGGGAAATGAAATCCAACCCACGTTTTTTGTGGTTGGAGAAGGGCGTTGAGCGCGCTTCGACGATGCCAATTGTGCAGTACAAGGAGCTTCGCTTTCACAAAACACAATTTTTAAAAACACAATGTGTGTTTAAAAAGTATAATATTGAGAAAGCTTGCTTTCTTATTCTTATCAATTGGCATCATTCTCATTACAAATGGGGTCTCTGAGACATGGGCAACGGGGGCCTCCGGTTGCGTACGAGTGCCTATGTGTGTTGTGCCGATGACGCGGCATGCGTCAGATCTTGTAGGTTACAGGAGGATTCGATAAGAGGCTCGACGTATGGTGTAACATACATTTCCTTTGCTTAGTCGCTTCGCCATCTGCCCAGCCTTTTGAAGACCCTGTCTGGCACTCCCGTGTTGGCTGCTACTGTGGCTGCACCTTTTCGGAAAGAATGTGTGCCGAGCTGCAGCTCTCCAAGGCCAACCTTTGCGAAGGCTTCCTTGCACCAGTTCCGGATCGTGGTGTATGAAGGTGGCCTTGCTTGGCCCTCGCTGGTTGAAGCGTGGCCGAAGACCCGAATCAATGGTCCCTCTGACCGTGGGCCATAGCCGGCCAGTTGGATGAAGCGTCGCGTGCAGCGCACTGGGCAACAGGGGTCTGTCGTTGCTGCGGGAATCCAAGTGATATGACCAGCCTGATCGGTCTTGGAGTGTGGTATGAGAATCCACATGACCTCGTCGTCGAATTGGATGTCTTGCCATTTTATGGCTGCCAGGTCAGAATATCGTAGGAATCCTGAGTACATGAGGATGGGGATCAACCCTTTATGAAACGTCACGGGATCGTCGGACTGCAAGTAACACGCGGCCATGTCCCGGACTTGTTGGATCGATACGGGTTCCTTCATACGAGTAGGGCGAGGGCAGTGTCGTTTTGCACAGTCACGGACTTGGGTGGTGAACGGTCCGGTTGTCGGGCATTTGCTCCCAGTCATGCGATGAGCGAAGCTGACCGCCGAGCACGTCAGCCGGACTACGGACAGGGTGGCTTTGCGTCGGATTGTCTGTACCAGGTAGAGCGCGAGGGTCATGTCGGATGCCGGAAGAAATGGGAGGTTCACTTTTGTGCAGAAGGCTCGAAACTTGGCCCAGTATGGTTCGTATGTCCGGATCGTAGAGACGGCGCGAGATTGCGCGAGCATGTTAATCATTTGGTCGTGTAACTTTGGGAGCAAATCTGAACACAAGGCGTAGATATTTTGAATTAGTCAAATGTCATTCTCAGTGCAATAATTGGGCTGTGCGGTAGTCCCATGTCTGAAGAAGCATTGGAATGGGACCCTGCGTCTAGGCATTGGCTTTCGTGTGTCAGAGAGATGTGCGCGTGGATGTGTGGAGCCCAAGTGCATAGGGAGGGTTGCAAAAGTGGCCACCAGCTTGCGCCTGGCCAGTGCGGAACTATTAGTGTGAGTGATGCATGGGTGCATTGTGCGTGATGGAGGACGGCTGGGACCAGTTGGGGCGGGGGGAAGGCGAAGTTGTTTTCGAGTGTCCACGCGATCGAGAACGCATCAACTGCGATGGCTTCTGGGTGGAGAATCTTTGTGCAGAAGCGCGGCAGTTGGGTGTTGCGGGAGTTTGCGAAGAGGTCGATGGAGTGGGGCCCCCAACGACGTCCCAAGATGCGGAACCACAGTGTTTTCAGCGCGTAATCGTCGTGGTCGACCATTTTTTCGTCGGCGTGTATATTGAGCTCGCGCGGAATCCATTCGATGATCAAGCGCGTGCCAAGCTCCATGCATGTTCGGATGATGCTCTTGCATGCCGTTGTGAGGTCGGGGCTGTGAGAGCCGCCTTTGGGAAGGTTGAAGAACACGCCCTGGTTGTCCACCCGCACGAGAACGTGTTTTTGCTTGATCTTGTTCGCGTATGTTTGGAGCGCCCAAAGGACGCCTTTGATCTCCCGTCGCGTGCTGGACGTTCCTCGTAGCGGCTCTGACATGGTTGCGCTAGCTTCTTCGAGGCCGCCCGAAAATGTGGTCACAGTGGCGTCCCAACCATGAGAGCTAGCATCCACATGGATTACCGCGTCGTAGCTGTTCCTGATGTGAAAAGGTGCGCCGTTGAAACGGTCAAACTCCTCGAGCCAAAATTGGAGCTCCTCTGCTGCAGATGGGAGGATAACCATGCTTCTTTTCCATGACGGTGCTTCGTTGATCACTTGTAACATAGCGTGGCTGAATGCACGAGCGGTCGCGCCAAGTGCGACACCCATCGATGCAAGCATGCCAGTGATTCTGGCCACGTGGCGGACCGGGACTGGTCGGCATGCCTTGCTTGCGCTTAGGAGGTTTCGGATGGTTGCATGCAGTGAGGCTCGTCGATCGGAACCGGTGGAGAATCGGCCGGTGTCGGTCTCCAGTTCTATGCCCAGGAATCGGAGATGTTGCGATGGTGACAGTTGTGATTTCTTCGCGTTTATCACAAGACCTGCCTCTTTGAGGTCCAATATCACTTGCTGGCAGATTGCTTGCGCATCGGCTTTCGACCGGCAGAGAAATAAGATGTCATCCACGTAAGGTACGACTTGGATGCCTTGTTCTTGCCAACGCCAAGCTAGTTGCTTGATGAGCTGCAAGAAGACGAATGGAGCCGTCGCGAGGCCGAATGGTAGTGAACGAAATGCGTATGTGCGCCTATCGAATTCAAAGCCAAGGAAATTCCAGCACGATGGGTGGATGTCGATGTGATGGTAACCAGATTTGAGGTCAATGGAGAACATCCAGTCCCCAATGCTCGCCAGGTCGGCGACACGGCTGAGCCCCTCGTACTTGAACTTGGGGACAATCAAGTTGGCGTTGACTTTCCTCAGATCAAGAATGAGCCTGCATTTGTCTTTTTGCTCGACCACGTTAAGTGGACTTATGCACTTAAGCTCCGTTGCGGCCATCGGAACTGCCGCTCCCGTCTGAGTTCTTGGATGGCGGTACGTGTGAACGTGGCATGCGTGTTTGCCCCGACATGATTGCGATCGTGGAAAGGTTGTGGTGGGCCATGGCTCCATGGAAACCAGTAACCCTTGGCGATGACGGAGAGAACGAGGTTGCTAGGGCACCATGAGCTCCACCACGCAAAGGTCGCGCGAAGACGTCCGCGCATCTGTGAAATAGTTCTGTTTGTAATGGCAAATTCGTACGGGTTATCGTAGCATGCCGCCTCGCACCGTCGTGCTCCTGTACATTGGAGGCCAAGTGGTATACGGGTTGAGTATTCCATGTTAAAGCATGCGTGTGCATGTACATGTATGGGCAACCATTGATCAAATGTGTGAAGAAAATAAAAAAAACCGACGGAAATGTCAACGAATGTGTCAGGCGCGAAACGACGCTTCTTCTTCTCCTCGTTTCCACCTTTTTTTTTTTTTTTTTTTTTCCTCGCCCCATCGTGCACTCGGTAGGATGTGGTTGTGCCTGCCCTTAGTGCATGGGAGATGATGCCTATGGCCATGGACACACTTGTCCATTGTGTTTCTCTTATTCTCTCTCGTTCTCTCTCTCTTTCTTTCTCTCTCTCTCTCTCTCTCCCTCTCTCTCCCTCTCTCTCTCTCTCTCTCTCTCTCTCTCTCTCTCTCTCTCTCTCTTGCTCTCTCCCTCTCCCTCTCTCTTTCATGCTCTCTCTTACTCGTAGTTCATGGGGGCTGGTGCGTAGAATCATGGACATGCGTGCCCACCATGTTGTATCTCGTTCTTTCTCTTTCTCTCTTTCTTTCTCCCTCTCTCTCTCTCTCTCTCGCTCTCTCTCGCTCTCTCTCTCTCTCTCTCTCTCTCTCTCTCTCTCTCTCTCTCTCTCTCTCTCTCTCTCTCTCTCTCTCTCTCTCTCTCAGGCGGTCCTTTATTAATATTATAAAGGGGTACAAGCCATACATGATGAAGCAGCAAAGCAATCCCCTAGCATACCGTCTAGGTATCATGTAGGCCAGCAAGCGCTCATGCAAGCAAGTATCAACATATAATAACTAAGCTAGCTGGGTCTGCTAGCCGTGGCCTGCCGTGAGCCTAGCACCTAGGGACCTCAGCCTCGGGGCCCCCTTACTTCAGCCCCTCACGCCTCCAGAGCTGGCCCACAGTCCAAGTCATCTTCAATGACTTGGCACAGGTCCCCCAGGCGGGGCTCCCATGGGTCAGCTGCCGCCTGTGGGTAGGCACTCTCTATGGCCCGATTAGACTTTGCCAGGAAAGCGTTTGCCTGGCTCCTCTGCAGCGCTACCGACCAGCGCTGGCGGTAGTGAGCTGTGAGTTTGGAGGTGACAGTGGTAAGCCTCCCCTACCTAAATTTCTCTTTAGCCGCTTGTCTGCCTAATAGCCTGAGGAACCTCTGTGTGTCGCGCGCTAGGGCTCCGTATGTTTCCACCGCCAGCCCCAACACCCCCACAAAATCCGGCCGTCCCTCATACACTCCTCGTTTGGTTCTGGTCGCATCCTCCGCCGCCCAGCTCGAGGGCTTCACTGCCCTAGTGTCCCGGCGCTGCAGGACCGGGTCCGTCACTATGACGTCCATAAATACGTCTCGGCCGACTCCCGGTCCTTGATGGCCAGGTCTGCTCGCTTGGGGTTGATTGGTTGCGAGTAGACCGTGGTCTCATACAGGGTAAGGTAGTCCGCCTCCCTGGCCATGCGGAGCGCCGTATACACGAGGTTGTTGTGTGTGTTCGTCCTCTCTTTCCCCTCCCCGCACCGCAGCAGATTGTTCGGTAGGCTCAGGTCCCCAATCTCCCCTCGCTCCCCCTGGCACGGGCATTTTTCCGTCACCGACAGCGCCAGTCCCAAGCGGAACCCCAGAGCCAAGGCAAACTGACTCGGCGAGAACGTCAGATCTGCCCGTGTGGGGATGGCGTTGAGCCAATCCCCTGCGCGTACTCCCTGCAGGCTGATCAACCGCACCACGTGTCCATTGTCTTCCCCCGGCTTATCCATCCGTGTGTCGCCCACCAGCTCCGCTGTCCGTTCAGGTTGATATGACGCGACAGTTGCTCCTGCAGGCGTCCCCGTCCTCCCCCGCTGACACCCGGCTCCCCTAGCAGCTCCCGCGCCTCCTCGGGGAGTCTGTTCCGCAGGTCCCGTATTGCTTCCCCTTCCCTTCCTGCCACTCCCTCCCCAAGCGGTGACACCAGCGACGCCACTTGCGAAAGCTGGTGGTTTGGCGAGGGCGGCATTTGCTGCAGCAGCATCTGTGCTGCCCTTAGTGACGCCAGGTATGCCGCCGGTGCCTCTAACAATGGGTCTATCAGCCCCACACCGCCCAGCGCGATCGGTAGCGTCGCCTGCCTCCACACCAGGCTTTGTTCTAGCTCCCTGGAGGGTACATTGATGTGGGCCGCCCTCAGTGCTGTCCACAACAGCCTCTCGCTCCACCCCCGCCATTCCCGGATGGGGAGAGTGTCCGCCGGTGTAGTGCGCAGGAGGTAGGAGATTCTGCGTGATATGCAGCGCGACAGGATCAGCATCGCGTGTTGTGGGTGGAGCTTGCTGACTAGGCTCAGCGGGAGGGCTATCCGCTCCAGCGATGCTCGAAGCGTGCGCCTGCAGTATGCTACTGTGCCTATGGGGCTCCCAAGGACTTGCACTCCGTCCACCGCCGCCGCCAATCCTTCCAGCAGGTCTGTTGTGTTACCCGTGGGGCTCCAGGCCGACGACTTGGTGAGGTTGCACCGCAGTCCTAGACCGACGAGCCCATGGACTATCATATTGAACGCCCTTGTCGCGGCCGCCGGCTGGCCAATGACAGTGATGTCGTCTGCGTACGCCATCACTGTCGCGCCCGGAACTGCCATCGCCGCCTCCAACAGGGCCGGTTGTATGGCTGCAGCGAATAGCATGGGGCCGAGCGGGTCTCCTTGTCTGACGCCCCGGGCGCTGTTGATGGTGCTGACAGTGAAGCCTCTATCCAGTAGTAGTTTCGACGGCGTGCCATAGAGGGTTCTAGCGAATGGCAGCAGTGAGCTCAGTCCGCCGGTCCAAAGCAGTGTCGACAGAAAACTCCCACGTTCGACCGAATTAAAAGCGTTTTCAATATCGAGCTGTAATATCGTGCGCGTCGGGTCCTCCGCCAGCAGCGTACGAGCCGTGTGTATTATGCACTCCGATCCCCACGGTACGGCCACGCCGTATTGTACTGGTAGGAAGTGTGAGCGAATTTCCCCTGACAGCTCCCGGAGCGCCGCCTTTGCCGTGAGTCTAAGGAGTGCCTCCCCAATCGCTATCGGCCTTACTCCCCCGTCAGGTTTTTCCAGTGCGATTAGCATCGATGGTAGCAGCAGCTCCCTCAGCGGCGCGTCCTAGTACGTGCTGAGTAGGTTATTAACTATCTGGTGCAGCAGTAAGAATACCTCCCCGTTTGTTAGAGTAGGGTCCCGTAGGTGTTCGAAACAAGTGCCTGACGGGCCTGCTCCTATTCCGTTCGGGCACTTCGCCAGGATGTCGCGGAACGACTCTGTGCCAATGGCGAGTGTTGTTTCACCGTAACCCCCTAGCCCTTCCTGTATCGCCATCTCCGCTCGCGGATGCTTCGCCCGGAGTGTTTCCAGTGCTTGTTGCGACGGCTCCGCTAATAGAGTGGTTCGTAATGCTGCCGCAGCTTTCGCCAGGTTGGCCTTCCGGACCAATCCCTCTACCCTTGCGCAGATGCCTTCTGCGTCAGGCTCGTGTCTGCTTGGTTGGGAAATGTCGAGGATTGTGCAGGCTTGGAGGTACAGTGAGCCCCACTCTTCATCTCGGAATTGTCGAAGTCTTTTCTTCACCGCGTCGAGGCTGTTTCCCGGAAATTTCTCTGTGCTCGCCCTCAGCGTAAGCCGAGGCAGGAATTGGAGCACCCTCCACGCGCCCATGCAGCCCGGATGTTTCGAGAGTTGCAGTAGGGGAATCGTGAGGCAGTGACTGTACGACTTCAGTTCTTCCGGGGGAAGTTTCCTGACCAAGAATGGTTGGGAACTAACTCGCAATGGGTCTAGGTCCCAACTCTCCACCGTCCGCCATGTGTCATCATCGTCCGCGATGTCATATGGTGAGCGCTCTTTGCTGGCATATTCATTAGTCTGTTGGGCTGGTGATTCGCCCACCTATCCAGCCCCGTTAGGATTATTTCCGTCGTGTCCTCGGCGTCCGCCACGTCGCCGTCTGCCCTCATTGCCAGCTGGGATCCCGTCTTCGGCCTCCACAGACACCTCCTCCGATTCAGCCTCTTCCTCTTCCATATATTCCGACTCTTCTTCCTCTGCGGCGACATTCATTGGTTCTCCCTTCTCCTCTTCTGGCCTCCCATGCCGTTCCCACCAATTTCCGGTTCTGGCTTTTTCTCTCGCTACGGATCTCACCAACCTCTCCACCCGTCCCCCCTCGCCCCGGCCCCTCCCGCGCCCCCGTGTGGCCGTGCGTCCCGCCGCGTTTCGCGGTTGCTGCCCCATCGCCCTCCCCTCCGCCCGCTCGCGTAAGGTCCTTTGTCGGCTAGTTTCGTTTCTCCGACTTTGCCACGCTGCCATCACCAACGCTATCCCCTCTTACCCCCTGTACTCGTTCGCCTCGAGATGCTCCGCCACACGATTTTCCTCTCCCTCACCTCCCTCTGCCTGGAGGCCTCGTGGCGATGACTGGCAAGCGTCGATCCTCCTCTCGATCGGACCGCTCGGTTGGTTCTCCTGCTACTCCCAGCCACTCACAGGCCCGGGGCGAGCTGGCGCCAGCCCTGCTCCGAGCCGCCGCTGCCCTGGTCGCGCACGAGGAGGCCGGCTCCTCCCCCCGTCGTCACGAGCCAGTCTATCGCTCTCCCCGCGGGCGGACCCATCCACATCTCCGGGCTCGTGGCGGCTCCTATCGACGTCGCCGTCCGCCTCGACACCCTCCCGCTGTCCAGTGAGAGATTGTCGGGCCCCTGTGTCCGACGCGCAGTCACCGCCTCTTGGTGCCGACGCCGCGGCGTTGTCCATCAGCATCTCTCAAGTCGTCCCAGCAGCTATCGTCCGTGCCCGCTGAGTCGGCGCCGTCAACGCCATTGGCTCCTCCACCTCCTCCCGCCATCCCGGTGACTCAATCTCCCCCGGCAGCGCGTGCGCCACCTCCTCCGGCTCCCCCGTCGCAGGCGGCCGCGGTTGGGGCACCTCTTGTGCTTCCTGCCGTGGTGCCGCCCACCCCGTCTGCAAGTTCCCCTGGTGATCCTCCTCAGCGGCTACATCCTCTGATTCCACTCGACCCCTCCCCTGTCGCTCGATTCCCTCCTCCTCGTTGCCATTCTCCTCCGCTTCCTCCCAACGCACCTGATCCTGAAGACGACGAGGCGTGGTGGAACGGCGATTCGTGGGAGTCTCCTCCCCAGTTCGGAACGTTGTGGGGTCGGGACTGGGACATCCGGTCCGATTTCGTTCTGGACGTGCTTCGCTGGGAGTGGCGCATGATCGGGGTTGGCGAGTGTCTCTCCCATGTTGCGACCGCACTGGAGCAGTTGCATGCTAGTCTGGAGGCGCGGAATCTAGTCCTCCGAGATCCCCAGCTGACGGAGCCCCAATAGGGCCTTGTGCGTGAAGCTGCGGCGCAGGGTCTTAGGCGCCTCCTCCGTTTGCCTCTGGAGTCCGATCGCCCTGACGAGAACGAGGGGCCGGGCGCGAGGGCTTTCCGCAGGGTAGCCATGGCTGCCGAACAGGCTCCCCTCCAGCTTGTGCCCGCGCTCGCGTCCTTGCTCTGCTGGCTTCCGCGGCGGTTTTACGTGCTGAATCACGTGTGACAATCTGCCTTTGCTGGGCCTTGCCCTGTGCCTTCTTGTTCCCCATCTTCTCCCGCCCCCGACTATCCTGCTTACCTTGGCCTCGTTGCTAGGGCCCTACTAGTGCTGCATGTTTGTATGGTGTGTTTGTATCAATGCAACTGTTGCCTTGCCACCCCTCACGCGCGGCCGAAGGCCAAAAACAGTAGGCTTTTAAGAAGGTAGTTTTTATTAAATCAACCAACACACATAGCAATGCTCTCCTAGCATGCATCACGCCACCGAGTGGCCAACTACATGGGACCGAGGGGGTTGCTGCTCCCCTTCCCTATCCTAGGCCCAAAACCTATTCCTACCCTTCACTAGGGCTGGCCTCTTGCCATCGCAAACCCCTAGGGTTGCCCACGGTTTTCGCACTCAAGAGTGCACCGTGCCTAGCGCTCTAGCGCCTATTCCCATGGCCCGCTCCTACACCACCGGAGCGGGTCCTTGGCCACCGTGCCCGTTCCTAGGGCAGGCACTTGCCACCTGACCCGACTGGCCGCAGCGGAAGCACGAGCCCCGAAACCCGCGGCAATTGGCCGTGGGCGGGGGGCCCCGCTTGGGTAAAAACAGTAACGGCGCGTTGTTTCCGCCGCGGTTGACACGAGCATATCCGCTTGCCGCACGGTCCATTGCCGCCATGTCCGCGACCGCCTGCTTGAAGGGTCGAGAAGTCAGCAGGCTCTTCTGCTGGTACAACTTGAAGCGCTTCGCCGTGGGGAAGTCGGAGGCGTCCTCCACTTGAAGCACCTCGAAATGCCCGGAGATGAGGTTGAGAGCGTGCGAGATGAGTTCGAGTCCGCCCGCTGGGTCTCCGCGCTGCGCCTTGTATTCCGCGTGCAGCAGGTACGCGCGCAAGTCTTCCAGCACGTTCTCGCACGGAGTCGTTGACGAATGTTGCCGCCGAAAAGGTGAGGTTAGAAGAAGGGAGGGGGGGAAGGTGTTCCGTGCCATTAAAATTAACATTGTTGACTGGAGCCTCACCGGCTTCATCTTCAGAGTCGTCGGTGTCGTTGTCGACCGCTGGAGCGGGGGGTGCTGCTGTTGCTGCGTCCTTGTCGTGCCGGATGGTCCTTGCTCCTCGCGCGCCTTTTTCCTTTTTCGCATTTTCTTTTTTAGTCGACGCAGATGTAGCAGGTAGTGCAGGTTCCGCGGCTGTAACGCTGACGGGCTGCTGCTGTAGAAGGGACAGCAGCGCGTTGACCTGGTTCGGGGTCAACGCCTGCGTCAACGCAGGGGCGGTCGTCGCGTCAGACGAGGAGACCGCCGTCCGCCTCCTCTGGCGCTGACGCGATGGTCCAGCCGCGGGTGCTGGCGTGTGCTCGGCGTCAGTGGCGTGTGCCACGCCAACGGCCGTCGCCACTTGCGCCGCAGGTGCCACTGGCGCCGAAGGGTGCTGCTGGGCGTTGGCCGAATTGTTGACCTCGAGCCCGCCCAGCAGCACGTCCACTGCAGTTGGGGCGGGCGGTCCATCTTCTGCCTGTCGCTTGTTACGGCATTCGCCCGCCAAATCGCGGGTGTTACGGTCGTTGTCGGAGGCAGGGTTGGACGAGTTCCCGTTGTTAAGTGTCGACGTCGGTGCCATCGTTGAGCGATTGAAGTTAAATATATCGTTGAGTAAAGTCGAAGGTGACTCGCCTCTAAAAAGCGATTTTGTTCTAGCCAGCTTGGACGGAGGGATAAACTACGTGAGCGGAAATGTTGAGTGAGCCGTTTGAAAATCGAGAAACGTGGGTGGAGGGAAATGAACTCCAACCCACGGTTTTTGTAGTTGGAGAAGGGCGTTTAGCGCACTTCGACGATACCAATTGTGCAGTACAAGCAGCTTCGCTTTCACAATACACAATTATAAAAAACACAATGTGTGTTTAAATTTTTAATAATTGAGGCAACGGGATTACTGTATCAAAAGCTATGCTGTGGAGTCAAGGCGATGTATACCTCTTTGCCTGAATGCATGAAACCAGGGAGCTCACTCTATTCACTCCCACCAAGTGCCTTCGGAGTATGCTTCATGTTGCACACAGTGTTTGTGAAGGTGTCAATATACACTCCACAACGAGCAAATTGAGTCACACACAGAACCTTACGGTTCTTGCATAACTTCATGTGTCATGCTGTTACTTGGGGATGGTCCCATTTCTTGCAAGCCACTGCAGCATGGCATCAGCAGCATCCTTCTACAGTAAAAGGCCACAATACACACATAGAATGTTACAGTACGGTATTAGTAGCTCTGAGTGTTATTGCTTGGGGATGGCTCCGTGGTTGGCGAGCCACTGGAGCATGGAATCGGCAGCATCCTTCCATCCCAGGTCAAGCATGATGTCATGCGGCATGCCTGGCAGCACCACTGCCTCTGTGCTGAAGAACTCCGCTGTTTCCTTCACGCCCTGGTCGTCCTGTTTGCCGGGGAAAGATACAGGGATGGGGGATGCAGGGATGAGGAGACACAGGAGAGTGGGGCATCCTGCCATCCTTCCATCCCAGGTCCATGCATCATGTCATGTGGCATGCCTGGTAGCACCACTGCCTCTCTGCCTCTTAGACGCACAGGTCGTCCTGGTTTTTGGGGGTGAGATGGCGGGGTGGGGGGATGGTGGGGTGCAGGGATGGGGGGATGGAGAAGAATAGGAGTGGGCTGGGCACAGAAGAGGGCTTTGCTGTCTCCCTCACACCCTGGTCGACCTGGTTAGTGGGGGAGGGGTGGAGGGATGAGGGGATGGGTGAGGAGACATGTGAGTGATGGTGGGTTGCAGGGATGGGGTCGACGAGGGAATGAGGGGTTGCAGGGATGAGGGATGGGTGCCCCCAGCGCCCCCAGGCATAGCAGCACAGGAGGCAGGCATCAAGCCATCAAGCCACTGCTACCCACTCACCACGATGACGTCATCAGCAGCGCCCAGCACCATGACAGGCGGGCAGTAGGCCGGCGGCATGGCCACGGGGAGGGAGGCGTTGAGCAGCCTGAGATCGAACAGCGGCAGCTTGCTGCTGTCGGAGAGGAGAGCCTGGTAGCGCTTGACTTCAGCTTCGGGGAGGGCGGGGGAGAAGAAGGAGTCGCGGCAGAGGGAGAGCGAGGAGCGGAAGAGCTTGGCTGCCAGGCTGAGCGTGATCTTGATGGACAGGATGGGGCGCGTGCGCATGTAGCGCTTCACTAGCTCCCTGGTGGAAGGAGGCAGGGGGGAACGGGGAAGGGTGGGAGAGTGGGAGAGTGAGAGGCGGAAAAGCTGCGAGGCTGAGGGTGAACTTGATGGACAGGACGGGCCGCGTGCGCATGTAGCGCTTCACTAGCTCCCTGGGAGAGGTGGGAGGAGTAGGGTGGGTAAAGGGGTGGTGAGGAGCGACAGTGAGAGAAGTCGTGGCAAAAGGAGTGATTGGTGCAGAGGCTGACGGCGATCTTGCTGGAGAGAATGGGATGCCTGCGCATGTAGCGCTTCACCACCTCCCTGATGGGTGGGATGTGAAGGAGGGAAGCGGGGATTGGTTAGAGGGCAGCAGGATGCGTAAGTATGCCGCATGTGCTCTGCTTACTTGCGGAGTACTTGCGCATCGTGCTGTCCTTCTTGACACGATTTTTGAGGCGCCTAAAGAATCGTCTCACTCACTTCAAGTGGGGAGCATGTGCCCTGCTTTACTATCTCCCACCGGTATAGTTGCGACAGATGGGGGAGGGGGCACTTGTGCATCGCTGGGCGCACAAGTCAGTGGATTGCAGCTCTCACAGTCACCCTTATTAATATCTCATCCCACGTTAACTTGTACACTCTCGTACGACCCTCTAGGATTCACCTGGCTTATCCTGTCCGCTCCCCTCCTTACTGTCACACTCACATGTTGCCAGTGGGCGGCACAGAGCAGGCGAGCACAGCCCCCGTTAGAGGGGCGAAGGGGACTCCGTCTGACCAACAGGAGAAACCCAGCATGAATTTGAAGGGGTGGAGAGAAGTTCTGAGTGGTTAAAACCGGCAGTGAGGGTGTATTTCTTTTAGTGGGACAAGATACAGAGGGGTAATTAAAAGGGGGAGATGGGGGATGGAAAGAGCGGGAAGCGTGGAGATGATAGAAGGAAAGCCTCAATCACACACACGATGCACACACCAATCACAATGATGCCCCCACTTAGTCACCTTCACCTGTCAGCAAATAACCACTCACCATCCTTGCTGCTCTCCCAGTTATTTGCCACGTCAGCAAGATACGCCTGCACAATCAGCCCGCCGAACGAGTGTCCAACTAGGACCGGCGGCCGGCCAACGAGCTGGCGGATAACGTTTGACACGTCAGCAGCATGGGACTGCGCTTCCCAGGTGCCATGTGGAGGATGGGTGCAAGAAGAGGGGAAAGGAAAAGAATCACGCGGCAATAAGCATCAGGGCTGAGAATCATGTGTTGCTGATCCCGCCCTAGCCCTACAGCTCAAATAACGCATTAGCAGCTGAAAGACACTGATAGCAGCCACTCTACATCCTGATTGAACCTAGCAGTTTTGACCCAGAAGCTTCCAACGAAGCATCTCGTTCCAAAGAAGCTATTGGAGAGTGTGGGTGAGAGTGGGTGTGTGCGTGTCCGTAGCTCAGATGAAGACTTTTTAATATCGGTCACTCAGCGTGATACATGTGGAATTTACACTCCAAACACATTTGCACCTGTCGTTAGCGTGACTAGCCTCTCTGTGAACCGCAGGAGCTTTCACATCATTGAATTCCGTTCGTACATCCTACATATGCAGATCGTCCTGACTCCGAATTCTCCTTTCACCTTCCAACATTATCACCTTTTTTCCATAATCACCTCTCACCACGATCACCCCCAACGAATCACCCCTCACCATTATCACTTCTCGCCATATGTCACCTCTTGCCTGACACATTTCACCATTATCATATATTGTCCCGTCATAACCTCTCACCGCTATCACTGCGCACCTGAACGGTCCCAGCCACAGGCGCGTTCGGGACGTCGCTTCCACCCTGACCGAGGATGCTTATGGCGAAGCAGTCGAATCCCAGCGCCGACAGATACGGCATCCACTTATCAGCCCAGCACCACGCGGCGTGGTAACTGCCATGGATAAATACCAACGGCGGTAGCTGCTGCTCCGGATCTGCACCCACGGCCTTGGCGTCTAGATCCGCTCGACGAATCAGGACCTCCATTTTGTAACCCGACGGTAGCTTGTGTAACACGCGCTCCGTCTGACCGGGGGTGGTAGTTACCGCAGACGCGGTTGACGCTGCGTGCGCGAATGCTTGACGGCGAGAGCGTACTTGACGGCAGAAGGATGGATCAGGCCGTTGGGAAGTACGAACGAGTCTTTCAACGCTAGGAAACCCTCGGGCGACGCCTGCGACTTTATCACGCGAGGCTAATGCGAAGGCATGGCTCTGGCACATATCTGTTTGTCGCACCCGGGCTCCAGCCGCCAATGCAGCACCGCCACGGGATAAAGAAGCCGCCATGGTAACACCAGTGACGCGGCGTTCCGCAGGCGGTTGACTGAGAATTAAGTCCAAGAATCCAGAACCTTGAAGGTGCAAAATTTTAGTGGCAGGATGTGCGTGTTGAATGGATGATGCCTCGAGTTCGGATGGAATCTTGTTTGGAAGCCAGTCTATTCCTAGCGGGATATTGGTAAGTTCATCGGAATGTAACCTGCTTGACGAAGCGTGGCGAACGCTTTCGAAAAGCGTGCGACGCCAGGGAGGGTGAAGTGCGAGATCAATGCTGATAAATTCGCCAATCCTGGGGATTGCTCACATGTTGACGCCTGATGTGATCTTTGAAGCTGACCAATCAGGCCTGATAAAGTCCCATTCACTGACCAGGAAGTCCGCACTCCGTAAAGTCATAGCTCACTAACAACTGAGCATGGTACACAGTGAAACAGAAAAACAGATATGAAATTATTACGATTCTGATTAAATTAGAAAACAGAACGAAAATCTCATAAATCAAGTGACAGTGAATCATATGTCTGCTCAGAATATTCAGACTAAATATTACGAGAGATTCACCCCTGGTCGGACCTGGTCTAGTTTACACAAGAGCTTGAGACCATCCAAAGTATCAGATCGATTTATAAGAAACGCGTAAACGCCATAAGCTCACTATACAAGTCAAAACGTGCGAGGTTTTAAGGTTTTACTAAATTGTCTTAACCTAAACATTACATTCCAAGGAGCAGGAAAGGCAAAAAAGGCAAAACTAACAAAGTTTGCGCAAAAGAAGCGCTACTATATATACACACGCGCTTGTGATAACCACTCATTATTCCGTGGACATGTAGCGTTGCCAGATATTTTCAGCCGAAAATATCACGTCATCCATATCAAGGCATCTTTTGGGTTGCTGACCTGGGTCAGAGACTTTACAGACTGGTCAGTCTTGTTGCTGACGAGGTGCCTCGTCACTTGGGGCCTTCCCGCCCATTTTTTGCTAGAAATAGCGAATCAGCGTTATCGAGGCAGCAATGAACACGACTGAAGACTCTGCCGCTGACGCTAATGATTGCTGATGTGTCCTCTGTGAACGGCACATGCTGCCATGACCATCACGAGTCACGTCACGTCACGACGACAGCATTTTCCGTAAATTGAACAGTGTCGAGCTCCAAAAGTTTTAGCAGTTCTCACATCTGGGTGTACACTCATGTTTCTCCTAAAATTAGCACCTGAGATCTGACGTTTTTGTACCAGTTTATGGAGCACTGTATGAGTTTATTTGCTGAAGGTTGTTTCAGTACACCTATCCTACGGAGCGCATCCATACAGATGCACAGTGTCTGATTTCTCACCCGTCATGGGGCGTGATCCAATCAAATGGCAGCATTATGCTGCTGCACCCAAGCATCGGATTTGTAAAGGGTCCTTTTGGGTACAAATACACCCTGTTTCTCGATGCTTGAACAAACGGGAGCCCCGGCTACAGTGTGCACGCGTGTTTGGATTCAATGGGCTGGTGCTTGAAACCGAAATGAACTTCAGGGGAACGGTAGACAACGGTTTTAAAAACTAAACGCGCTTTTAAGTTTGTTTTCGTGCGGTAAAAGTTCTTATACGGTAAAACCAATTTGGACGCATTGATGTCAGTCCAACCGGCTTATCAATATGTCGAATGTCAGTGTGGCGTGAAACAGGGTGTAGGTGGCGGGAAATGGACTACGGCGCCCAAGATTGCGCTGTGAAAAGTGGTAGAGGGGACACCCATAGCTTCTCAAACTTTGTAGGGTGAAGACTGTAATAGCACTTCAAAATCGCAATCCAGTCATCCTGTACCCCACCCGCTGGAAATGTGCAGATGCGGTAGGAACACGATGCGGCAGACCCCAGCAGACACCGGCATTAGTGGATGGGGTGCGGAGTCAAGTTTGACAAACGCTTCATAAAACGTGTTGATCTGAGCTTACGTCTGTAAGGGAAAGACCGATATTATAATACGCGTGACAAAATGGATGCACCACAACTACATGCGTTGCGAATCATGGATACACAACCAGAATCACCCCATCTTTTCGACCAACCAGAATGCCCCTCTTTCCCTCCCTCACCACCTTCACCACAAACGCTTGAGTAGCAGGACTGCTTTTTCTGTTTGTGTGCATGAAATTGGTCGGAGGGTTGGCCCTCCAAGAGCAGATTCATTCGCGCCCACATTGGAAACGTGTTGGATGATGTACTCTTGTTCAAAGCCTTGTGACACTGTCAGCTTGTGAAGGAGCTGCCCTTGTCCAACAGCGGTCCAGTGCTGAAAACCATACAGTACCGCGCTGACCCGCTCAATAGAACCAGTACACTTTCACTTGGTTTGGTGTGTTCTCTCGGACCTTCTGAGTGATTCTGTGTGGCCTTGGGATTGCCGGAAAAGCGCGGAAATCCCGACCAGATTTAGTTGGCAGCATTGAGTTCGTGGTTTGCAACCGCTCCTCTCAAATTCGCCCCTGCTGCATGTGCACGTCTGGGTCGCGTGGTGTATTTTTACTCTCGTAGTTCGAAAAAAGAAGCACTCGCTCACTTTTATTCGGCGCCGCATTCCTTCAAACGCACAAATTGTATCTCCATTCTGAATCCTCTCACCAGCGCATACTAGTCATTTTTTGTGAGCACCAAGGAGTCATTTTTTTGCGCGGCGAAATCCTTGCGCAGCGCTGCTTCCCCTGCGATACTTGACACCCCTGAAGAAACATTTCGCAGCGCTGGTCATTTGCACACCTTCTGACATAGATTCTCAGCGCATCTCCACCATCTCAGCGAGCAGCACATCTCCACATCTTCCGGCACAACTCGCTCCCGCAACTATGCCCACTCTCGCTTTCGAGCCTCTGCGCGCTGCGGAAGAGCCCTTGCGCGATCATGCAGCAGCCATGCCGTGCTTCCCTTTCGCGGCGCCCACCGTCGAACGCGAGATGGGCGCGCAATGCCGTGTGCCTACTGCGGAAGAGTGCACCGGCGGAAATTCTCCCGCGGAGGTGCAGTTAGATGAGGGCGGAAGAAGCCTGGGAAGGACGGCGTCTGGGGAGAGCGGGGAAAGCGCGGACGAGCTGCTGCTTCTGGATTGGATAATCGACGGCTCTTGCTCCACTGACGACTTGATGCTTCATCGCACTGCGACTGCTGACAGTCGCAGCGCCGACGCGAACGACATCCTCGCGTCGTCTTCTGCCGGTATTCGCGGAAACTTATCGCATTCGCCTCTGCGATCCTCGGCTAGCGACAGAAGCCTTGGCGGCCTTTGCGGCGACTCGAGAAACGGCAAGCGAGAGTTTCGCCGAAGCTGCTCGATGGAGGACATTAACAGAAGCGGCTGCGGCGTCGCGAGTGGCGGCGGGGGACGCGGCGGTAAACCCGGTGCCCGGATTCATGTGGAATCATCGCCGTCGTCTGTCCTGACGGGCGGTCCGTCGTCGCCCGCCGCGTCGGTCGATAGCTGCGCGAGTGATCTCACTTCGCCTATAAGCAGCCCCGTTATAGCAGAGAGGATCAGCATGGCTAAGCCGAGGACGTTGCATCTTCCGCCGCTACCGCCGAAGGCGCCCGTGCTGTCTGACACTACGTTGCGGACCATACCCGCTATAAGCGGCCCCGCGAGCTGCGCGCCGCCCACGGTTCAAGTTCAGCCGTTGCATCAAATCAGGTCATTTGGTGCGCCTCAGCACGCTGTTCCGTCCGCGCTTCCGCCGCCGATGCAGCAAAAGCAGCTCGAATCGCAACAAGGGCAGGTGGCGCAAGCGACGGCGAAGCAGCATCCGCTGGTGGCCTTGGACGAGCAGCGGCGGAAGCACCGCGCGTGGCTGTCGCTATTCTCCCCCTCTCTCGCGCAAACCCTCCCCCCGCTTGCGCCATCCGAGAGTGGCGCAGAGCTAAAAAAGCTTGCGGAGCTACGAACGCAATCTCCGAGCGCAGCACACGCGGAAGCGGAAGCGGAACAGCATGGGGTACGCGATTCACCGGTCTCACCGTTTTGCGCCGAATTCCGACCTTTCTCGTTGCCCCCAGCAAATGATGGGCAGCTGGGAATAACCGGCGGTTGTTTCGCGAATGGAAATTCGTCTGACGAACTCGCTGGCGACGTCACTCAGGCGATTCGTCAGGGGCTGGGATCTGTGAAGCTAGCAGGCAGTGGCAGCGGGCAGGAACAAAACTTCAGCCGTTCATTTTCGTATGATGTCACCACGCATGGAGGTGGTTTGCCGAACCACAATACGTCTGGCATTCGCCGAACCTCCAGTGACGTTTGGGAGGCGCCAGCAGATGGGATGTGCACTAATGGTAACGTGACTATGACGAAGCCGTCCAACCTGAGGAGGGGTGGCATGACAAAGCAGGGGCAGAAGAAGGTGAGGTGGGGGGCAGACGAAGTGTTTGAAATCCCTTCCCGCTGCTCCAGTATAGACTTCTGAGGGCAGTACATACGGTGGCCTCAAATGGGAATTAACGGCAAAAGTATATTAACGAAGTTGAAGCTGGGTTGAGCCCCCTGATTTGGTTGAGCTCCTAAATTACCGGTAGGAGGGATTGTACATTATTGCATTGTCCACTGGAACTGTGTTGTGGTACGTTTACCCCCATTCTACTGAAGCGTGGATTGTATTTTAAGCACCACCTTTCCACTTATAATTGACATAGTGGAGAGGAGTAGAAACTTTTAATTTGGCTTTCTTCCTAGGCTATACTGCCAACAGCCCCTCTCAACTGGAGCAAGAACTACAACCAGAAAACACTTGAAGCTTATTGTGACGTAGAAAGCACCTGTATTTTGCATCAATTGGCCACAACTAGATGTGAGTCTCAACCAGCACGTTCAAAGCCAGCCACATCTAGAATTCACCATTGTTGATCGCAACATAACCAGCAAACACCCTGCCACTCGTGGCCCGCATCTCATTGATCAACCGGTTCCAGTTGGACCCAAGCACGCCCACATAGTAGTCACACTCCGATGAGATAATCAGGTTCGCAAAGCTCACCCCCACCAGCTGTGCCCTGCCAGCCTTCTTCTCGTAGTCGATCAACCGCATGTCGCCCAGCTGCCTCTCGTTCTGCGAATAGAAGAAGGTCCAGTCCTTGAACTGCGCTGATTGGTCGATCACGGACTGGGCGGGAGAGGAGGGTTAGAGGGGAAGGGGAGAGATTGAGAAGAGTCATGTGCCTTTTGAGTCGACTCAGCAGTCTTTTTCTTTTGCTGATTAGAAGAAGGTCCAGTTCTTGAGCTGCGCTGATTGGTCGATCATAGACTGGGGAGAAATCAAGAAACGGACTGAAAAGAAGAAGGGGGAGGGTGGGAATGGGGGAAGAGAGCGCAAGTGTGCGGCGAAGGAGGGGCGGCTCTGCTGCCTCTTGTTCTGCGAGTGAAAGGAAACAGATTCCCTTAACTGTGCTGATTGGTTAATCACAGTCTGGACAGGAGAGGTGGGTTAGAGGGGAAGGAGAGGGGAAGGGGACTGTTTCACCTTAGGAACTCCTCACCTTGGGAATACCTCACCTTGAGAATACCTCACCTGGCGACCGCCTCACCTTGGGAATACCTCACCTTGCGACCGCCTCACCTTGGGAAAACCTCACCTTGGGACCGCCTCACCTGCATTTCAGTGCTGATCCACACGAATCGGATGTCGGGAACGTGGAGTCTGAGGCGGTGCATATAGAACATAAAGGAGTTGAAAGAGCTCAGCTTCATCTCACTCCCCTTGTCGCCCTGCCGAATGTGCAGGCTCACCATCGGCCGAGGCATATACGCCTCTCGCCCCACCCCCTCGTACAGGCTCGTCAGATAGGCTCGGAAGCTGGGGGCAGGACCGGGAGAGCTTGCCGAGCCTGAGCAGCTGGCGACGCCGAGCCCGGGCCAGGCCCGGGATTGCATGGATGGATCGGCAGAGGTAAGGAAAGATGGATCGGAGTGGTTGAGACTGAGGGGGTGGAGAGATGTCGAGGAGGCAGAAGCAGGGAGTGAAGAGGGGGAGGCAGCAGAGAGGTGGTCGTTGTAGAGTCGGAGGAGGGCGGCGCTGCGATCGCGGGCCTGCACGGTGTGGGTTGCCACGCGCAGCCCGTAGGCGCCGTGGCGGATGCGGTTGGTGAGATGGCAGAGGTACGGCGAGGGCCAGCGCAGCATGAAGCGCAGCGCTTGGCTGCGCCACCAGTGCACCTGAAAGGGAAAGGGGAAATGGGGGAGATTGGATGCGGTCGGTGAGATTGCAGCGCATGCAAGTGACGTGATGTGGTGTGGTGGGAACACACAGAGGTATGCCACTGGCCATTGCAGAATGAAACGCAAGACTTAGGGGGGGCGAGTGAGTGAATGGAGAGGAAAGGGGGTGGGAGGTGGAGGGTTGAGGGAGAAAGAGTGGAAGAAACTGAGTTACTGAAAAGGCGAACCTACACAACCCCGTGAACCTGTTTTTGAGTCGACTCAACTCAAAAACACCCTACACCACCCGTTGAACTACCACATCACCGCACACCGCGTCTCCATCCACCCACACCACCCCATTCTGCACACATCACCGCACACCACCTCTCCATGGACCCACATCATGTCCATGCCCTTGCAGCTCTATCACGTTGCTCCGACTGACGAGCCACAAAAACCTCTCCATCTACCAACATCCCACTCCATCCCACTCGATGCCACTGCAACGCACCTTGATGTGCTGGGGATTGTCTCTCTCCACCTGCCCCTGCAGCTCGATCATGTTGGGTCGCTCCAGGTAGGCCGTGTCCCACTGGCTGATAGGAGCGGACAATGGGGAGGGCAAGGAAGTATGCATCGCATGTTGAGACTCTTTCACACTTCTCTTTCAAACGTCTCTCTCCACCTGCCCCTGCAGCTCTATCATGTTGGGTCGCTCCAGGTAGGCCGTGGCCCACTGGCTGGCACGGGAACAAAAGGATAAGACAAGGGGGGAGTGTATGCTGATATGCCTCAAAAGCGCCAGAAGGAGCGACACGCGTCCCCTTCATTGAACCATTTATACATGTTAGGTGCTGCTTTCGTGCTGCTGCTGCTGCTGCTACTCTATCTCACCGACCGTCATCTGGCTATGCTGGCACAGCGCAAGCAAACTGGCTCCTCTCCCTCGTCTCTTGTCCGGAAACACTGCCCTCATGCATAGCCTCCACCCACCCAACCTCACCTGGCAATGCTGGCTTCGAACTGAAGCCCATTGAAGGGCTCCCCATGGAAGCACACAATGGGGTGGTTCGACACTAGCACCTCCTCCTTGGAGCTGGGCGTGGCGAGTGGTGGGTGTGATGGGTGGTGGGCGTGCAGCAGGTGCTGGGAGGGACCGGTGCTTGTGGTTGTGGCCCCTCTATCACCTGGCAATGCTGGCTTCGAGCTGAAGACCATTGAAGGGCTCCCCATGGAAGCACACAATGGGGTGGTCCGATGCCAGCACCTCCTCCTTGGTGCTGGGCGTGCAGCAGGGCGGCAGCGCCCCTGTGCTGTTGGAATTGAGCGCGATCTCCTCGCAGTCAGGAGAGGTCAGAGGGAAGAAGTAGCAGTTGAACGAGCCCCATGCTCCTGTGGCTGGTATGGTGAGAGGTGGAATGGGGGAAGGCGAGAGGGGTGGGATAAGCGGAGGGAGACAGGAAACGAACCAAGCACCTCCTCCTTGGTGCTGGGCGCGCAGCAGGGCGGCAGCGCCCCTGTGCTGTTGGACTTTGAGTGTGATCTCCTCGCAGTCAGGGGAAGTGAGAGGGAAGAAGTAGCAGTTGAACGAGCCCCACGCTCCCGTGGCTGGTGTGGGCAGGAAAGGGGGGGGGGGAGGGGAGAAAACGTGATTGTAACTAAAATAATGTGGATGGTTGTATGTGTGAGAGGAGGGTGGGAGGAGATGGGGGGAGAAGCGGGGGTGAGTGGTAGCGTGAGAGAGTGAGTGAGACATGGGCAATGATTAGCACCGTGTGAGTGAGTGAGTGAGTGTGGTTCATTCATTGCCAGACTGCTGTGAGGATGATGTGCTCGCTATAAGCATACTATGTTAAATTTAACATACTCGCTATAAGCAAACTCACCATTGCACTCGTCGTGCTTGGCGCGGTCAAACGACGGATACTGGAGAACCAGCGTGCGGTTGTGGCGCATGGCCAGGCTGAGAATGGCCGTTATGATGTGCAACTGTATTGAGAAGACGAAAGGAGGAGGGGAGAGGGGAACAGAGGCGAGGGGGACGAGGGGTGGGAGGAAAGTAAGCGAGGTGGGTGGCTGTGACGCATGGCGAGGCTGAGAGTGGGCGTCATTATGTGCAGAGAAGGGGGAACGGAGGGAGGTGGAGTGGGAGAGAAGGAGGGGAGGATCGTTGTGGGCACAAAGGCAGGGAACGAGGTTGTGGCGCATGGCTAGGCTGAGAATGGCCGTCAGTATGTGCACCTGTGGGGAACGAGAGGATGCAGGGGAGGGATGAAAGGCGAGGGGGAGAGAGTAGGGGGAGAAATGACAGAAATGCAAATCCTGGACTGCGACCCGATCCCACTCACACTCACTCACCTGCGACCCGATCCCACTCACACTCACTCACCTGCGACCCGATCCCACTCACACTCACTCACCTGCGACCCGATCCCACTAACACTCACTCACCTGCGACCCGATCCCACTCACACTCACTCACCTGCGACCCGATCCCACTCACACTCACTCACCTGCGACCCGATCCCATGGGCGATGTAGGCCCAGTGCGCAATGAGCAGGCGCCTGCCCTCACACCGATTGGGCGGGAACTGGTGCTCCCATATGTCCCTCTGTGCCACACGTGTCATGCCCAGATTGGCTGCGTCTGAACCACGAATCTGCAAGGAGGAAGAGCAGGGATGAGAGGGGGAACGGGAGAGACGGGGAAAGGGGATGGGCAAGGCGGTTGACGTCAAGAGCAGGTAAGGTGGTTGATGACAAGAGCAGGTAAGGTGGTCAATGACAAGAGCAGGTAAGGTGGCGCGATGGGGAACAGAGGCATGGGGGCCGAGGCGAGATGTCCGTGCTAAGGCTAAGAAAGACGCTTGAACATGCCTACTGACGCACACGGGAGCGAGCCTGATGTCTGTGTAGACAAATGTCACTGGTTGTGATGAAATATGAGATGATCACATCATATGCACACCCATACACACCCGTTCACACCCATACACACCCGTTCACACCCATACACACCCGTTCACACCCATACACACTCATACACACCCATACACACCCATACACACCCATACACACCCATACACACCCGTTCACACCCATACACACCCATACACACCCATACACACCCGTTCACACCCGTTCACACCCATACACACCCATACACACCCATACACATCCATACACACCCATACACACCCATACACACCCGTTCACACCCGTTCACACCCGTACACACCCATACACACCCATACACACCCATACACACCCGTTCACATCCGTTCACACCCGTACACACCCATACACACCCATACACACCCATACACACCCATACACGCCCGTTCACACCCGTACACACCCGTACACACCCATACACACCCGTTCACACCCATACCCACCCATACACACCCATACACACCCATACACACCCATACACACCCATACACACCCAATCATACCCACCCATACACACCCATGGCGGCTGTGGGTTGCAGCCGCAGCAGTCTTTAGGACGAGCCCACTCAGGCGACTCCCCATTGGGCCCTCGCTGCTCCGCCGCCAGTCTGTGCGCCGACACCTCGCTGCACGCCTCCAAATGCGGAGCTGCTGCCACGTCAGCGGGCAGGGATATCTTTTCCGGGGGCAGAAGAGACTCTTTTTGCAGCCCGTACGCCTCCTCCCATTGCTGTGAGGAAAAGGAATTGTCGGGGAAAAGGGGGGAGGGACTGGCAGGAAGGATTCAGGTCGGGAGGAAAGGGATTGGCATGCAGTATTGAGGAAAGGGGGTGGAGAGTGCGGTTCAAAGGGGTAGAGTGAGGCACCACGACATGTGCTTAAAATAACCAAATGACTGAACCATCGAGCGACGCAACTTGAAGAGCTCGTGGCCGCGCTTGAGCCCTTCAAGTTGAATTTCAGCCGACTCAAACGTCACCTCGTGGAGGGGGATTCTCCCTTCACAGCAGGCAGGAAACCCCTTTGAGCCGACTCAAAAGTCACAGACAGACAGACAGACAGACAGACGCACCTTGTAGAGCTTTGAGACTCAAAAGTCACAGCCAGACAGACAGACGCACTTTGTACAGCTCGTGACCGCGCTTGAGCCCTTCGAGTTGCCTTTTCAGCCGACTCAAACGTCACCTCGTGGAGGGGGATTCTCCCTTCACAGCAGGCAGGAAACCCCTTTGAGCCGACTCAAAAGTCACAGACAGACAGACAGACAGACAGACAGACAGACAGACGCACCTTGTAGAGCTTTGAGACTCAAAAGTCACAGCCAGACAGACAGACGCACTTTGTACAGCTCGTGACCGCGCTTGAGCCCTTCGAGTTGCCTTTTCAGCCGACTCAAACGTCACCTCGTGGAGGAGGCTTCCCCCTCCACAGCAGGCAGGAAACCCCTTTGAGCCGACTCAAAAGTCACAGACAGATAGACAGACGCACCTTGTACAGCTCGTGACCGCGCTTGAGGCCTTCGTCTGCTTGCAACCTCCCGCCGTCTAGATGATCGCCGACGGCTAGCGACGGAGTTACCAGCAGCAATGCAACGCTGGCGATGGAAACGACATGAATTAACGCAGATGCACGCATGGTCCAGTCTCCAGTCATTGGTGGATTAAGGTCGATGTCGCACTAGTAAGACGGCTCGACACAAGCCTAAAACTAGGTAGAGTCTTATGTTTGTCCTAGGGTTAGCACTGGCATGACGATCGGCGAGAGACACCCAGAGCCTGTTTAGGTTTGTCCTAATCAGCTCATAGATAAGTACTTAGCAGCAGGGAAGGAACAATCACGCCTGTCGATTGCAACAAGTGGATCAACCAGATACGGCGACAGCGAGACTCAGCGCGAGCGTGAGCATGAGAACGAATGGAGCGACTCGCCGACGCCAACTTCACTAGATAGGCGTTGACCCTGATAAATGATGCCTATCGTTGAACTGGTTGGCAGCCGGCGCGCGGAATAATTCATACACTGTTGAGGTAGCTAGCGATACTTACTGCTGCATCGCCGAGGCGAGCTAAGGGTGTTGAGCAACTTGCCGCGCCGACAGGTGCACAGTCAGGTTAGGAATCAGGTCTGGATAATGCGAATTCCGTATTGGCGATGAAGCCGATTGAGATTTCTTCGCTACTAAACATCATTTTCCACAATTCGACCGTGAATAGAGCCTTTCAGAATTAGTAATCTACACTAAGTTTAAGGTAAAATTAGACAAACCTGGGAATTCTTGTGAGAAAAAAGGCTATGAGCGGCTGATTCTACGACCTAGAAGCACTATGAATGAAATATACGTTCCTGGGCTACCTGAATCAAGGTTTATAGTATCTTCATTATATTATCACGCCTCTACCTTATCACACAATTGTGGACAGATGGCCTTCTTTGATGTCACTGGAGCAATGAGATGGGATGGAGTGTATCGCAAGAATGTCCGGTGTTGCGTCCTTGGCCTTTGCTGTTTCCAGCACCAGCACCTGCACACACAACCATGCCCATATATAGAAACACATAAATACATGCAAGATGTACGTTCCAGTGGCTTGCGGGACACTGCCACACCAACATAAACGGCACGCTGCCTGAAATGGCTCAGTGCAGCACAGAATTCCCTCCCAGTCCCGCCTGACTGACCTGGTCGTAATCCGGGTCGAACTGCATGAATGGCTCGGAGCACTCCTCCACGAGCCACGCCGAGCAGCCACGAGCCACCAAACAAACACTTTCCTTCTGACGAATAGCCCCCCACCCAACCACCCACCCACCCACTCCGCACCCCCCACCCCCAACCCCCCCCTTCTCCCAACCCCTCCCCTGCCACCCACCTGGTCGTAATCCAGGTCGAACTGCATGAACAGCTGAGAGCACGCCTCCACGAGCCACGCCTACAAGACACCCAGGCCCACCTGATCGTAGTCAAGGTCCACCAACTGCTCGGTGCGCGCCTCCACGAGCCACACCTTGCACACTCTTCATGAACTTCCCTCCATTGACCCGCACTCTCACCTCCCTCGTACCTGGTCATAGTCAAGGGTCAAACTGCATGAAGGGCACGGTGCACTCGTCCACGATTTTTGAGGCGCCTCAACCCCACCCCCCCCCCCCCCCCCTGTACCTGGTCGTAGTCCAGGTCAAACTGCATGAAGGGGTCGGTGCACTGGTCCACAAGGCGAGCTATCTCAACACCCAAACACCAAACCCCCAATGCATCGATTCTCCTTGATTGATCACGAATCCTTCCCAGGCTTACCTGGTCATAGTCGAGGTCAAACTGCATGAAGGGGTCGGTGCACTGGTCCACGAGGCGAGCGAGCTGCAGCAGGTTCTTCACCGGCACGCCGTTGAAGCCCACCACCTGTGTGTTCACCACCTCCTCATAGCCTATGTTCACATCCGCCACCAGCACCTGCTCACGGGGGAGGCGCATAGGGGAAGGGCATGGAAGAAGGGCATGTATTCAGGTGAAGAGAGAGTGAGCCGACCCCATACCTGCGTGTTCACCACCTCCTCGTAGCCTATGTTCACATCCGCCACCAGCACCTGCACATGGAGGAAAAGGGCACAGGGTAAAGTGTATGCATGCGGCAAACAGCTTTTAGCTGAACCTACGGCAGTCAAGTGTCGTGGTGATAGTTCACATTTGCCAACAGCACCTGCGCATGGGGAACGGGCATACACGCAACAGGGGTTTACTTGTGATGCATATGCCACCTGCACCTGCACACGGATATGAGTATGCATGCGACAAACAGCTTATAGGTGAACCTAGGCCGGTCAGAGGACGTGATGTTCACATATGCCAGCAGCAGCTGGGCATGGGGAACAAGCATACATGAATCTTCCCACACTTGGATTTCAGCACACAGATCACTGCTGGCGGTCACACAACTTTTGAGGCGCCTCAAAAGTGATTTCAGCACACCGATCACTGCTGGCGGTCACGCAACTTTTGAGGCGCCTCAAAAGTGATTTCAGCACACCGATCACTGCTGGCGGTCACGCAACTTTTGAGGCGCCTCAAAAGTGATTTCAGCACACCGATCACTGCTGGCGGTCATGCAACTTTTGAGGCGCCTCAAAAGTGATTTCAGCACACCGATCACTGCTGGCAGTCACGCACCTGGGAGATGACGGCCACTTGCTCGTCATCTGACTGTCTCCTGCGGTGGTGCATCAGCCTATCCAGCAGCGTCCATAAACGCTTGAATGTAACCTGCCTGATGTTCCATACAGCTGCTACATCTGGAATAGAACCCACCTGTGAGATGACAACCACTTGCTCATCGTCTGACTGTCTCATGCGGTGCATGAGCTTATCCAGCAGCTTCACCGGCGCGTCATAGTCATAGTCCTTGCCGTACTGCCAGCAGACACAGGGAGGGAACAGTGGGTAGGGGGTAACTGTGAGTCATAGTCCTTGCCGTACTGCCAGCAGACACAGGGAGGGAACACACAGGTTAGACGATTATGGGGGGTTTACGGGTGGGAGGGTTGGAATGAAAGGACTCCCCGACTGTCGCATGTGGTGCATCAGCTTGTTCAGCAGCTTTACCGGTGCATTGTAGTCATAGTCCTTGCCCTACTGTTGGGAAGCAACACGAGGGAACAACGGACAGGGAATAGCTATGAGCCACAGTCCTTGCTGTACTGTTAGGAAGCAAGCAAGCAAGCACACAAGGAGTTGGGCGGAGCACTGGTGACCCAGGTGAGCACAATCCCCACCACTATGAAGTAGGAGGGAGGCAATAGTGCAATGTGCACCGGCACCAGCCGCTTGTGCTGCTGAAAGCCCACCTCTAGCCCTTCTGCACGCACCTTTCCCCAGGACACCTCCCACACCTTCTCACTCACCTCAGCCCTGAGATAAGGCACAGTGACCCAGGTGAACACAATCCCCGCGACAGTGAAGTATGATGGGGCAAGCCCTGCGATGTGAACGGGCACCATGTGCTTGTGCCGCCTCAGCTCCACCTACAGCTGCAGCACCACCCTGCCCAGCTGGCCCTCCACACCTTAAAACAAACACACACATCAGCTCACCTCTGCCCGGAGGTAAGGCACGGTGACCCAGGTGAACACAATCCCTGCCACGATGAAATACGAGGGCGGCAGCCCCGCAATGTGCACGGGCACCATGCGCTTGTGCCTCCTCAGCTCCACCTGCAGTTGCAGCACCTTGCCGCCCCTCAGCACATTGATCTGTGCCGTCTCCCCCTCGTACTTCTGAGACACCAGGTAGCTGAAGCCTATGCGCTCGCCCTTGCGAAACGGCACTGGGGGCAGGGAAAGTGGGTGGGGGGGAAGGGCGGGAGAGGGGGACGGAAATGCAGGACGCGCGGGGGAACGGAGAGCAGTGACGAGCACGGCAGAGGGGCAGGGGGTGGGACAGGCTGTGCACGGCAGCTCCACCTGCAGTTGCAGCACCTTGTTGGCCCTCAGCACGTTGATCTGTGCCATCTCCCCCTCGTACTTCTGAGATACTAAGTAGCTGAAGCCTATGCGCTCGCCCTTGCGGAGCGGCACTGGGACGAGACGAGGAGGGCACATGTGGGGCAGAGAGGCTGTGGGAGGCAGGCAGGCAGGGGACGCACGGAGGAAGGGAAAGGAGAGATGAAGGGTTGGCTCCGTCATTGGCAACAGCGACGCTATCAAACGACAGAAGGGTGAGTGACGCCCGCAACAGATGGGCTGCGACCCCATTGAAACATCCCCTGGGTGCAAACCAGCTTAACTTCGCACATATCTGAGCCCACACTGATCACCACCGCCAACCTACCAAAGCCACACACCCACCCACCTGTGCCATCATGAGCAACAGCCACGCCATCCCAAGACAGCAGGATGTCGGACGTCTGCCGCAGCTGGGCTGCAGAGGTGCTGAGAACTCTCAGACCTGGATTGCTCTCACACGCACATACCTGTGCCGTCATTTGCCACTGCCACGCCATCGAAGGACAGCAGGATGTCTGAGGTCTGCAGCAGCTGGGCGGCAGGCGAGGTGGGCTCCACCCGCCTCACCCTCACGCCCTTCTGCCCCGCCTCCATGCCGAGCGCCTTGCGCATGTCTGGATTCTCCATCTTCTGCCACTCCACGCCCAGGATGGGGAACCCTGGTGAGAACAAGGGGGGCGGAGCGAAAAGGAGCAGGGGTGAGTTGACAACCATTCATCACGCGCCCCAGTGCGTTCCTCCATGCCCAGCGCCTTGCGCATGTCTGGATTCGCCATCTTCTGCCACTCCACGCCCAGGATGGGGAACCCTGGCGAGCAAGGAGTAAGGAGGGAAAGGCCGAAAGAAGGGCAGGAGAGCGAATTCAGACAATGTGAGATTTGTACTCGCGACACAATAAGCAGCCCTTCTGCCCCGCCTCCATGCCCAGCGCCTTGCACATGTCCGGATTCTCCATCTCCTGCCACTCCACTCCTAGAATCGGGAACCCTGGAGGGTAACGGGGGACAGGACGAGGAGAAGGCAGATAGAGCGAGTTTGGGACACTGTTGGAGATGAAATTATGACAGCAGGCAGCTTCCATCCCCAGTGCCTTGCGCATGTCTGGATTTTCTCCATCTTATGCCACGCTATGGAGGGGGGGGAGAGGGGGAGACCGGCAGGGAGGGGAGGAGAGTGTGAGAGCAGTGTTGCATGTAGAACGAATCACAAGGAAATTCATCATCCGCGCTCTGCCCCACCTCCATCCCCACCCCAATGCTTGCGAACCCAAACCCCACCTACCTGTGTAGTGGCCGTTGCGGTCGTAATCCGAGATGAAGTGGTGGATGACGGGCGTGGGGATGATATACCCGAATGTTCTCCGCCTCATCCCCCCGCATCGACTGGAACGCAATCCCCACACACTCGCCCGCCGCAGTGAACGCCGGCTCGCCCGAGTTGCCCGAGTTGATGGCGGCGTCGATCTGCACCGCACAGCAGCTCCGACGCCCCGTGCACGTATGCTGTCACCTCGATGCGCGACACCACTCCACTGGTCACTGAGATTGTGTCGCCGCCTATGGGGTATCCAACCACTGTCACTGGGTCCTGGGGTTGAGGTGGGAGTGGGGAGAGCGGGGAGGGGGAAGGACGGATGGGAAGGGGGGGTCGGGGGAAGATGGGGAGTGAAGGGGCCTGGGGATGATAGTGCCCCGAGTTGATGGCGGCGTCGATCTGCACGCCCAGCAGCTCCGACGCCCCGTGCACGTATGCTGTCACCTCGATGCGCGACACCACTCCACTGGTCACTGAGATTGTGTCGCCACCTATGGGGTATCCAACCACTGTCACTGGGTCCTGGGGTGAGGTGGGAGGGGGGAGGGCGGGAGGGGGAAGGACGGATGGGAAGGGGAGGGTCGGGGGAAGATGGGGAGTGAAGGGGCCTGGGGATGGTAGTGCCCCGAGTTGATGGCGGCGTCGATCTGCACGCCCAGCAGCTCCGACGCCCCGTGCACGTACGCTGTCACCTCGATGCGCGACACCACCCCGCTTGTGACTGATATGGTGTCTCCACCAATCGGATACCCCCACCAAGTCACTGGGTCCTGAGGGAGGGGGAGGGGAGGGGCAGAGGGCAGGATGGGAAGGAAGAGGGTTGGGGGAAGAAGGGGAGTGAAGGGGCCTGCGGATGGGGATAGAGCCCCCTCTGAGTTGATGGCGGCGTCGATCTGCACGCCCAGCAGCTCCGACGCCCCCGTGACACGTATGCTGTCACCTCGATTCGTGACACCACTCCGCTTGTGACTGAAATGGTGTCGCCTCCTATCGGATACCCAACCACCGTTACAGGGTCCTGGGGGGCTGGGCAGAGAAAGAGGGAGGGGAAGGCCGGGGGAAGAGGGGGATGGGAGAGGGTTGGAGAAAAGAGGGGGAGTGTAGTGGCCTGGAGATGGGGATAGAGCTTCCCACCCAATTGATGGCGGCGTCGATACTGCACGCCCAGCAGCTCTGACGCCCCGTGCACGTGCGATGTCACTCTACCGGGGAAAGTCCCCAACCTTACCTGGAGGTGCGGGAGAGACCCCAGCCATACCTGGAGTGCGGGAGAGACCCCAGCCATACCTGGAGGTTGCGGGAGAGACCCTAGCCATACCTGGAGTGTGCGGGAGAGACCCCAGCCATACCTGGAGGTGCGGAGAGAGACCCCAGCCAATAGCCTGGAGGTGCCGGGAGAGACCCCAGCCCTACCTGGAGGGCGGGAGAGACCCCCAGCCATACCTGGAGGTGCGGGAGAGACCCCAGCCATACCTGGAGGTGCGGGAGAGACCCCAGCCATACCTGAGGTGCGGGAGAGACCCCAGCCATACCTGGAGGTGCGGGAGAGAACCCCAGCCATACCTGGAGGTGCGGGAGAGACCCCAGCTTGAGTGGCTGGCACGTCCTTCCAGAACTCATCATCCTCCACTGACAGTAGCGCTGCATTCCGTGGGAGTGAGTGCAGCGCGGGGACTGAGAAGGGGAAAAAGTGGGAGATGGTCGGGGTGAGGAGGAGACACATTAGTGGGTGAATGGCCAAGGCTGTATGTCCTTCCAGAATTCATCATCCTCCACTGAGAAGAGTTGCTGGATTCGCGAGTTTCAAGTGGGTGGGTCACAGAGGAATGGGGCGACGCATGGGTGGAGGAGAGTGGGTAAGGATGGGGGAAAAACGAGGGGTTGATGAGGACGATGAAAAGGACACATGGAAGATATATGAAGACGAACGGCTATGGGTCAAAACTAGGAAACAATATCGGATAACTAGCTGAAAGAAGGCCAAGTACGCATACCTATATCGCACTCAGTGCCCACAGCAAGCACTGTTGCGAGGGTACTTGGTGTCTGATCCCCTCTTCTTCACTTCACCTGCGGGGAGGATCGTGGAGAAAGGGTGTGAGGCAAGGGGTGTGGAGGAAAGGGCGTGAGGCAAGGGTGTGGAGGAAAGGGCGTGAGGCAAGGGTGTGGAGAAAAGGGCGTGAGGCAAGGGTGTGGAGGAAAGGGCGTGAGGCAAGGGTGTGGAGGAAAGGGCGTGAGGCAACGGTGTGGAGAAAAGGGCGTGAGGCAAGGGTGTGGAGAAAAGGGCGTGAGGCAAGGGGTGTGGAGGAAAGAGCGTGAGGCAAGGGTGTGGAGGAAAGGGTGTGAGGCAAGGGTGTGGAGGAAAGGGCGTGAGGCAAGGGTGTGGAGAAAAGGGCGTGAGGCAAGGGTGTGGAGGAAAGGGCGTGAGGCAAGGGTGTGGAGAAAAGGGCGTGAGGCAAGGGTGTGGAGGAAACGAAAATGAATTACAGTTGAGGAGCTGGGGTTCCATAAGATAAGAACTCGCGGGCGTGGACTAAGATTCCTGCGAGTTAAGGAGTTTCTTGTACCTACTTGAATTTCTGGGAAGTTTTATCGTTTTGTTCCTTAAAGTTGCTTTAAGCCGTTTCTTCAAGATCGTTGCTGTTCCATGCTGACTTTTGAGTCGCTCAAAAGTTAGATCGATGTATTCCATTATGAGTTTCGATCTCATTCTCACCTGCGTGGTGCTCATCTCATTCTCACCTGCGTGTGGTGTTCCACGAGTGCGCGTTGGTGAGCACACGGCGGTTCTCAATGATGAACCCGCTGCTGTTGGAACTGTTGCGCGTGCAAGGGGAGAAGGGGGCGGGGAGGAGATGGCGGCGGAAAGGAAAGGGAGGGAGATGGTGAACGAGGAAAGATAAGGAGTGGGTACGGGAGAAAGGCGGAATGGTGAGGGAGGGAGGAGGAGAATGAGTCAAGGGCAGATGGGGGGAACCGAATCACCCGGCCTTTGCAAGCATTCAACCAACGTACCTGTACTGTCTCTTGCGCTGCCAGGGAAGGGAGAAGTTGGGGTCAGTGTGCACGCAGAACACCTTCACAACCGAGTCCAACGCCTTCTCATCCCTCACAATCCCACTCCCCGCTGCCCCAGCCTCATGCACCACCTCCTGCAGCTCCTCCCCGCCTCTCCCCGCCCCTCCCGCCGCCCCCGCGACCCCAGCACCTCCCCCGCCCCTTCCCCCTTTCCCCGCTCCGCCTGTCTCCCCATCAGCATGGATAGGCGGAGCAGGGGACCGCTTCCTGGGGCCTCTTCCTTTCCCCGCGCCTGCCGCTCCCCCTGGGGACATGGGGCGGTCAGGGGAAACAAGTCCAGCGCCAGCCTTACCCCCTCTCCCCCGCGCCCCACGACCCCGTCCGCGAGCCCCCGCGCCTCTGCTTGCGCCTCCCGCTCCTCCCCTGCCTTCTCCGCGTGCTCTGCGCGCGCCCCGGCGTTGCTGCTCCTCCCCTGTTGGGGACTCCTCGCCTGAACCTCCCTGCTCTTCGTCCGCGTCCCCCTCGTCCTCTCGCTCAGCAGCCTCATCTGCCTTTTCCAGCTTTACCGTCTCCTCTGCTACCCCTTCTTCCCCTCCTTTCCCCGCTTCCCCTTCTTTCCCCGCTTTCCCTGCCTTCCCTGCTTTCCGTGCTGCTGGCGATGCTACTGCCTTTGCAGCTGCTGCTGCTGCGGCCTTTCCTGCTGGTGATGCTGCTGGTGGGAGGAGAGAGGAGAGGCGCGAGTGAGTCGTGTGCGAGGCACCAGTCTGTATGAAATTGCATTGACATCTGAAATAAATTCTATGACAGCGATCAAACGTCAAAACCATTGACATCTGCTCCTCCCCTCTCTTCCCCCTCCTCCCCCTTCCCCTTTTCCCCCTCCTCCTTCCTCTCCCACCTGTCCAACCCCAACCCCCCCACCTTTCCCCCCAACGCCTCCGCCAACTCACCTCCCTTGCCCTTCTCGCCCGACCGTCGTCTCTTAGCGTCCATCTCCCCGTCTGATGACCCTCGCTTCCTTCCCCGAGATTTCGGGGAACCTCCGTTTGGCAGGCTCGGGGACTCTCCGGGCTTCTGGCTCCGCAGCTGTCTGCCACTCTGCCCTGGCGACCCGTCAACCGCAGCAGGACCCCCAGGAGATTTTGCAGGAGATTTTCCAGGCAGCGCGAGCGGCGACGTAGCGATGGGAACCTCAGCAATGCTGGGGCTGTCGGAAAGTCCGCGCTGGGAAGCGGGGGAAGCGGCGGCGGCAGGAGAAGCCTTTCCGCGGGCAGAGGCGGATGCGGGGGACTTGCGAGAAGCCCCGCCTCTTCTGGCGCGCGGAGGCATGGCGCAATGCGGGGATGGTCGTCCGGGGATCCGACGGCGGTGATTAATAAGGAGGGGAGTCGATCGTACGGCGTGAAGTGGACGCGAGCAATTTGCAAGTCAACGGTAGAATGAATCACTGGAATCAGGAAAGGGAACATATGGAAAGAAAGAATGAAAAGTACATAGTTATAGGCGGCTTGACTTCAGGCTGGAAGATGCACTGAAGAATAAAAGTGTGCGAAGAAACGACCTGAACGGGTGTACGGCAGAGATGTAGGCACTAACACGGCGATAAGACCGGCGTGAAGAACCTCAACGTCTAATTGCTGCTACGACGATCGCGGCGAGATTTCAGACGAAGAGTATCAACGATCGGATTTTAATCAGAAAACCTCCTTCGCAAGGTGGATCTTGACTCGAACTAAAGCCCGAAACAGGCTGTTCTATTTACCGCTGAACCTGCAATAGTCGCAGAGTTCGCCGCTGTCGTTAGTTCTTAGGAATGCTTCACGCCGTTCGACTCATGCTTCCTGCTTCGAGGCTGAAACCTCGAGATTCTCCGCTGGGGATTCTCGAACCTCGAGAAATGGCCAGCCTGATCAGAAACACACTTTCATATCGGCTCTCCCCTCCCCTCCCCACCACTGTTTTTCCGTTCCCGATTTCTGAGTCGCGCGCGAAATACGCCACTGCGCACAAACGGTCCGAAAAGTTTTTTCGGATCCTGGTTCCGCGCGCGACGATGTCAGGGGGAGGGGGTGCGGAGTGCGCACGGAAAGGTATGCACGAGTTGCGCTGCGGAGTGAGATTGACGGGTTGCGGGGAATTCCGGTCGATGCCGTCCAAAAAGGCCTACAAAAATGCTTATGTCTCACACAATGTAGAGATGTCGATGCTGTGCACTGATATCGGAGAGTCTTATAATGTAGCAGTATGTTCCTCCACACACGCAAGCTGAGCACTGTCAGCGTTTCCTCATCACGAGTTCCCATAGCTCCCAAAATATTTCATCTTGCATTCACCACGACCTTTCAGCGCCGCAACTCAAGCTCTTCATGCAATGATTAAAACGCGACTCGCTACTGATATGCACAGATCACCCTTAGGAAAGCTCACGTGTTGTGCTCAATAGCAATAGCGTCGATTTTTCAGCTTATCGTCGAGTCGAAAGGTGGTCAAGCTGGCCAATAAGCTTGTCGTATTGGTTCGACAAGCAAAGTGGGCTTGATTTTTTTACAGCCGAGCTCGAGAGGACAAGGAAGCTCGCCACGCTCAACTATGGCTCCGAATTTCGGAGTGATCGTGCGCGCCGCATTAGCCGGGTCAGTGGCGGCTGCGGCTAAGATCGGCGGCGCGTTGAAAGCAGCTGGCGGAGTCAAGATTGGGTCCGCCGCCGCCGCTGCCGCCGCGCTGACCGCCGCTGCGACGACGATGGGGACCGGGAGTAACAGGCCAGAGGGAACCTCGGGATCTCCGATCGCCCCAGCAGCACCCAAGGCATGATGGAAGACCATCTGGGGTGGTCGATCATTAGGACGTCAGCTGAATGCATACGTTTGTGTAAACTCCCATACAGCATGACCGAACACCATAGCATTTCTAGTGAGAATAGGCTCTCCGTGACTCTTTAGGAAGATACGGCTTCTCGTTATGACAACCATTAGAAGACCAGAACTCAGGAACACGAACTGGAACAAGGCAA